TTCTTAAATTATATAGATACAGGTTGGCAACTTTTTACAAAGATTTCGGAATTTAATTAATAGACCATATCGTGTATAGCTCGTTGTATTCAGGCCTAAGAACAAGGAATTACTTAGAAGGAATGATAAAATAAAAACTGTAAATCATATGGTTGCTTACATTCTTCTTATGCAAATATAATTAGTAAAAAGAGGACGAAAGATATACCATCAGTTGCTATTGTTATCAATTCATAGCAGGCTAGTGTATAGAAAATATTATACAGCCGTATAATCCTACCAAATTCAGATACAACCTGCTTGCATACGTTTTACATAAACTGTGTGGAATATATAATCTAGTACATACAGATACTTTTCTTTATCGTGATATTGGTGTAAAATAACATTTTATCAATACGTATGTGTCTGGTAATGAATCAAAATGTTATAAATAAGGTAAAAATTACCTACCCTGATGGAGATGAGTTTTCTAAGACGCCTAATATCATTTCCAGTAAGTATATATATATATATATATAATTTATTGCACTAGTTAATATATTTTTTTTTGATGGGTGAAAATGGTATGGTAACCCCGCCTGCGCTAACGGGATACGCTGGCGGAGCACCAGTGAAGGGTGATAGATGAGAATGAAAACAGGCCAGTTAGCCCATCATGATGAATTCATCAGGAATTAACCATGATAGTTTCCAGGGAGAACCGTGAGGAGGTCGACCTGGTTGGATATATTGCTAGCAATGGGATTTTCAGTCTCCATTACTAACAATCCCTTTCCCCCTAGTTAATATATTTATTGTTTATTTTACAAAAGATACATAAAAAAAATAAAGTTTTTGCAACATATATTGATCAAAAGTCAATACAAAATCATTTTGGATATTCAAGTCACTTAATTTAATAATATCATAACAAGAAGACAATTGATCTACTGTTTTTTCCATTAAACCTTATGAAGCAGAGCCTAATGTCATTTAAGGACATTCTGAAAGCTTGTGATGTAAAAAGACATGTTTTGTTTGATGAAGTTTTTAAAGAAACTTCATTTACAAATATTGATATTCTAGTATTAAAATACCAAACCTTAATTTAGGAGTGTGAGTGTCACACCATGTCAGCTGTCATTTTGAAAATATTTTAAGGGTATAGTACATCACTGCAGCGGCCAGCAACTGAGGCATTGATGGACGAACGTACAAATGTGGGCCGAGGCATAGCCGAGGGACACATACGTGAGTCCATCAATGCCTAGTTGTGGCCAAGGCTTGTATAGTACTTTTCTCAAACAATGCGCGGAAATCAAAAACACAATTTTACTTTTTAAGTTCAATGACGAATAAGGAACAATAATAATTTTCACGCGCCATAATATTCCTTTGTTTTTTTTTTTCAATAAACAGCTTTCTATTTGCAAACCAGTTCGAAATTTAAATAAAACCTTGTATTAATTACCTTCTTGGTAGCCATATTTCAAAGTAAAAGGTCATTCCATTTTTAAATTACAGGACAGATATGAGCTTACATAGTAATTTATCTGGGCGCAAAACACGACAGATATGGATTTTCATACAACTTTTGCCGGCCGCTGCCCGCATGTATTTTGGCCAGTACGGCAATTTTGATTTATCTCGAAGAAGATTGTCAAAATAATACATTTCCAAGCATGTTTGAGAAAAATACAATTATAGCCTAATAGTATATTTCCTATTTATTTACTACAGTTGTTCCATGGTTGTGTAGCAGATATTGAATTTTGAATTTCTATTTCAAAATTGGGACTTTATGTGAAGAAAATGTAATGAACTTGACTAGAGTTTATTAATTATTTTGAAATCTAAGTATTTATATTGTATTATATGAATTTATACAAATTGTGAAAATGATATACTTAGAGAATTCATGTATAAAATAGGTAAGTTTTACTATAAACATGAAACTTTAATATTTCAGATGTGTTCTGCACTGGAGGAACTATGATAATCCACAAGCACTGCAGTGTGCTGGACTTCAGCAGCAATCTTTGAACTTTTTAAGTAGTAATGTTAAGTAATGTCTATAAATGCCAATTGTAGTCATTTTACTCAATGACACAAATGTCTCTAAATCGCTCACATCTCACATCATGTAATGTAATATAAATAGGACTCTATTTTCCACGCTTAGCCTCTAATCTAATTCATCAAGTTATAGATGCGTTAAACAATATAAATATTGTCCAGAAATATATAAGATTTCCACAAAATTCTCAAGCAAGGCAAGCTTTAAAAGAAAGATAGTAAGAAAGAAACATAACAATCCCTAAGTGCATAACAAAAAGTATATTTTGTTAAGAAATTTTTAAATAGTTTATGATTTTTTATGTATATGAATTATATATTGGTATTATTTTCAGTTTCTATGAAAAATTTAAGTTGGTGTGTTGGGCTGTATTGATGGTACACTTGTATCAATGGTTCGGCCGCATCAACATGAAGAACGTTATTGTTGCCGAAAAGGCTATCATGCAAGAAATTGTAAGTTATTGGCAATTATATTCGGAATATTTTTTTATATTAATATTTGTTCTACTATATATGTAAGTGCATTTCTTTATCCAGATAAATGATGCTGTTCTAAATATTTTACATGTAGATATGACATTTGGAGGAGCAACCCACGACAGTTTTGCTTTTACAAATAGTATAATTAAAGATCATCTAGAAAAACTTCATAATAATGGGGAAGTAGTATACCTGCTCGGTAAGGTTCCAATCTTTGAACTACTTTGTGGAATATTATATATTACAAATAATGACTATTCCTTATTTTTTTCAGGTGATTCTGGATATGCTCAGAGGCCCTACCTTATGACCCCTTTTAATAACCCAAACCCACCTGAACGCCTGAAGAACACTACAACACTATGCATAGCACTGCTCGAAACAGCGTGGAAAAACAATAAGCATACTAAAAGGGAGATTTAAATGCTTATTAGTTCATAGAGTGTTACATTATGACCCCACAACAATTTTAAAAATAGTAGTAGCTTGTTGTGCCCTACACAACATTTGTAACGGTGCAAGATTATCTTCTCCAACTTTAGCCTCCACAGACTTAGAACAGGAAAAAAGAATACTTGGCACATTGAGACAAGCTCAGTTGTCTCAAGACAATGTTGCCACTAGGCGCTTATGTAGAGCACAAGTAGTGCGTCAATTATGGTGTGCTCGTCATATGTAACAAAGTTTTTTTATGCATAATGACACCACTGGTATTGTAGATCGTTATAAACTATGGTAACCATTTCCTATTAGGTGCACCTGATGCACCTGATGACTATTGATGTATAAAAATAATGAAGTGTTAAAATATTATAAACTACTCAATTTGACTCAATTACCCATGCAATAAATTACTTATTCATGTCAATTTAATGTTGTTAAATTAATCTAATACAGTTCAGGCTAACTGAAACAATAATCTCTTTCACAATCATGATTGTAAAACTTAAGACCCTTATGATACGAGTATCTCCTTATATTAGTATGAAAATAAATACCTATTAGAAATGCATAACATTTTACACATGCTTACTTATGTACTATAAAAGGAGGTAAAAACAAACCTTAGACCATTGCTGCCATGTTTTTAAACAGCCACGGCCGTCGCTGTTTAGTAAATGCAAGCTCACAGCAATGTCTCCCCAAGCGACTTTAGTACGGTACCTGGCATTGGCTGTTCGTGCATGCTCTGTCGCAAGCCATCGCTGCTCCTCCATGCATTCCACCAGCATATCCAACTGCTCTTGAGAAGGAACCGCACTTCTTGACATGCTACAAAATAGTTATTTATTTTAGTTATTAGAAATATAATAGAACTCTATTTAAATGATCACACAAATAATTAGAAAGTACTTAAGTAGTAAGTAAATTACTTACCTATTTGATAGATAGATCCAAAGTTATGAATTGTTTAACTTTATTAATTAATTTAAAAAAGGAATTATCTTAGTGTAGAAAGTAAACAAAACAAATACAAATAACGCGCGCCTGGAATGTTAAGTGTTTGGCGTGGCGTGACATCTTAGTATTTTTTACGGCCATGGAAACAAGCTTATTCAAATTCAAGTTAAATTTAAAAGACAAAATTAAATGTTTAATGAATAAATTTATATTTATTTTGCTAAATGTTTATTCAGACAACATTATTAACTCAATGAAACATTTTCTTTACTAATAAAATACTATATTTATTTAATTACCGGTTTCAATTTACGGTTTTTGTTGCATGCCCTATCTCGTCCGTGCGTGCAGCCTCGAGTTATCACAGCCTACAGTTCGTCGATGAGGTTTGACACGTTAGTGAATATCAATTACCGCAGCGTTGTAGCCACGGTCGTTCGCAAGGCTGATCAGCCTCAAGCTCGTCGGCGGGCGCAGCGTTGCGATAAATTTTTAGTGACTAACAGCTAGGATCTTCCCAGGCCTCACAGCTTTACATTCCAGGATTACGTGGGCAGCCGTTTCTTCGGCATCGAAACAGCCTCGCCATAGAGGGCTATGGCTCCTATTGTGTATAAATATTTGTTTAATGAACAATGGCCCGTTATTGTCCCTATCATTATTTTGAGGTTTTTCCTATCTAGATGCAATAAACGTTTTGATAGTCGTTGAGTCAACGTAGGCACGGCCAATTTTGGCTGTCTGCAATCAGTAGCCTGTATTCATCTTTGGTTTTGTATCCATCCTCATCCAATGTATGTATAATTATTATTGAAATAAAAATTTATTTATATTTTCCATTGTTTTTATTGTTAGAAACTTAGATTATAAAGTATTTAGATTGGCAATGTATGAAACAAAAAATATATTAATCTGTATATTAGAGCAAGGGAGACAATTGGATAACATAACTCAAAGTTGTTTTGGCAGGAGTGTGAATAAAATAATTTTTAATTTATATGACTATTGATTATACGTTTGCCGGGTCAGCTAGTATATATATATATATATATATATATATATATATATATATATATATATATATATATATATATATAAACAAAGTCACTGTCGCTGTTTGTCCGTCCCTATGTATGCTTAAATCTTTAAAACTATGCAACGGATTTTGAAGCGATCCAAGAGGAAGGTTTATATGTATAATACATGACATACTGACAAATTTAGAGGTTTCTAATGTGATGTCGTAAATAAACACATGTTTTGCGCTTACATTAGCTCAGCATATTGAATATTATTCAACATATTAGATACTGCAATATACCCATAAAACATAAGAGCAAGCATTTTTCGTAAATATACACCAGACAGTTGTTCTGTCCAACACAGGCAGTATACACTATTTATAAATTGCTAGTAAATTCTCTACATCTACTCATTTACATATAAAATTGCAATTTGGTATGTAAAGTGCTACTTTAGCTATTTATCATAGTGTCACTGTAACTCAAATTTCCATTAAAACCATAACATTAGTCAGTTCTAAACTGTCAGAAATTAATAAAAGTAAAAATAAAACATCAACGACTAATTATTTCATCAATATGTTATACATATTTACATAACCATCATGCCAAATGCTCCGTTTTAAACTGATCTCTTTCACTTCCTTCACAGTCATCAAGCTATTCATACAAGAGCGGTGGTAACAAGTACTTTTAATTCGGCTCTTCATCAGCCTATTTGGTTGACATATTTCATCCTAAGGCGACCACTAACGACTTCTCTATTCATGCTCGATCTCTTTTATAATTCATTTCATTAATATAATTCTTTCATCCATCCTCTCTAAATAACCAAACCAACACAACCATCAATCAATATATTATATATTTCATATAAAAGATAATATCGACTACCCTGTACGTAATAGAAGCATCGCTGGGGATTTATCACAGAATACTCAAATAAAATTATTACACACAAATAATAATGCACTTACAGGAATATTAAACCATTCTATTCTAATCTAAAAATTACAGTAACCACCAATATCACTTTAGCTTCATGTGCACGCACGTATCACGGATTCTACCCGACTGATTGAACACAAATAATGTAAAATTGTATTTAGGTGTGTATTTGTAAATAACAAATAGTATTTGTTATGCAAAACTCAGGCATATACGATACAAAATCGCGTGAAAGCGATAATATTCTTACGACTTGAGTGAATATAGTAATCACACTAAATATAGAGTATATGTGATTTATTTCTCGTCATGCAACTTTTTCATCCGTCCATGCGTCTGTCACAACGTTACATAGAAATAATCCAAAAAGATATTACATTATAATACATCCTATGTTATTTTAAAACCAATCAGAAAACATGGAATAGTTGCGAGCTACGTACATAAGGGGGTACGTAGCTCGCGACACGATAATCATAAATAATTAATAAAATAATTACAGTTTATAAAGCTATCTGTAAATATTACGGATAAAGGAAAACGACGTTTCTGACTAAATTTTTTTAAGAAATAAACTCAGTTATGCAGTTTAATTTTAAACCATATTATAGCTCAAAGAAATTCTTAATTACGATAGTAATTGTTAGCAGTTTATTTCATATAAGAAACAATACGGCTGCGTACATTTAAATAATAATCTCAGACTCTCATGTACGTGTATGTATGTAATGATATGTATACATCTATAAACACATATACAGTATACGTATCACTCAAATATATTTTTATCTAAAAAAATTATATACATATAATATAATATGAATATATAATATAAATATAATAGGAACTCTCAACGAGTGAGTTGAATTAAAGTTTTATTTATCGTATTCCCAAAAAACCGATAACCAAAATTATATTTGAATGAACTGAACGAATTTTTTCATACATCTCTTTGTAAACAATGACGGTCATCATTCATAGATATTTTTCCATCTGACAAACAACCTCAATCTCAATCCTCAATTTACGTCTAACATTTAAATAGTTTAAATTAAATTAACATTTTTAAACAGCATCTCCTACACACTATTTCAGTTATTATACATTTAACGAGGTAGATAATAGTGAATATTGTCTTTAATTTCTAAATATCAGATCAGTCCATAAATTCGTGCGCATATTTTGGTAAATTTTTAAATCATATAAAAATACACACACACATTTTAACATTTTAATCAATTATACGAGAGCTGCCTTTCAAATTGTATTGTTTGAAATATCTCTATTTCACGGTATGTCATTTAGGATCTTCGAGGATTAACTGCCGCACGGCTTCGACATTCTCTTGCGACATGGCGGTTTTTGGATGACTTTCACGTAGCTTGTTACTGAGATTAGAGTGTCCACGTTAAAATTCTAAATACCAGCGATCTACAGTCCTAAGACATGGTCCTGCATCATTAAACACAGAAGTGATCTCCTCAAAGCACTGAAGTCGCGATAATCCCCTTTGAAAGTTGTAGAAAATTATGGCATGCAAATTTTCCTTAGATATTTTCATTTTTACAACCGACAAAGGTGACACCTTTGAATAGACGATACAATAAAACAATTCGACCAATCTGAAAACATTATTTTCTTTTCGAAATCTAAATTTAAAAATATGAAAATGCCATATTTTTTTTTTTATAATCGTGGGAGGTTGGCAAACGTCACGACTTAAAAGGCAGCCCTTGTAAACGGGTGATTATTATTAAATAAGAATTATTAATTCTTATTTATTATATAAATTAATTAAGCCTTCATTAATGAATAACATTAGTAAATAAACATTTTAAATTACAAAATGAAAGCTGTCAAGTAGCTTCTTAATCTAATCTTAACCATTAATAGATTTATTTTTAAAATCAGTCTTTTTTGCTAAAAATACAAAATGTCTATTACTTGTCATAATAGACAAATTTAAACAACAGTCGCAAAGCAAACGCTCAGCACAATGTCATATATCAAAAGATAGAAACATTGTATAGTATGTATAAAAATAATGCTTACAAATATTTTTATTATCACACCTGTGTACATTCAGGCACTCGTATCACTATTGCTGTAGGTGTCCGGACCCGATAGCATGACTTTTAATACTGCGGTGAGCCAATTCTTCTTTTTTGATAACTTAGCTATATTCTCATCTAGCGCCTTTGTGGATTTTAGTAAAGCATCCCTTTTCGCCAGTTGTTGCTGATACCTGAAAAATAACAGCGCCAACAAATACTTCATAATTTGCATTATCACATCAATGTACATTCAAGTAACAAATTAGTCAAATACAAATACAAGACAGTACTATATTTTTAACATATATTACATTAACATATGTTATGAAGTTTTAGGGCAAATTGGCTGCGACACACGGACGGGCAAACAGGCACGAGAGTAATCCAATAAAGATTGCATTTTTTCCTTCTTAAGTATAGAACCTTAAGTATTGTTCTTATATTGAAAATATTTTGCTAATTTATTATTAAATTATTCTTATTATTTAATGTTTAGTTATAAAGCTGAAAATTAAATCATAGAAATCGAATTTGATAATAAAATTAACTAAACTATGTACTATTTCAATAGAATTTAATAAAAATATAATTAAGAATTGTTTAAATAATCACAGAAACTTTTAGTAACAAATCGAAACATCAAATAAATTAATCGATTTTTCATTTGTACTACTATCTGACAATATGCCTGTCTTATGCTCGGGTCGTTTATTCGTTTATGTACATTTCCATTAAATTTAATTGAAGCGAACCATATAATTAAAAACTGAATAATTTAAAAGTACCTTATTTTATAAACTTCACAACCGAGACATTCCTCTGGCGTAGGTTCATTATCAAACACTACGGTAGAAGGCACTGAAATTAAATGAACAATTTATACTCGTCAAGCTATATTATTAAAGATGCTACTAATAATAAATATACTATAAAAGATATGAATAAATTTTAGTTTCTTTTTAAGATACTTTAAATAGAAAACACTGACTAATCCAAGTAATAGAAAGTGGTAACCATCGTCTATAAATATGAACAGCACCACAAACACCTCAGAGTGCACTATGATGCCATTGGTACCTCTAAAGAGTTGCCATTGTTGAGGATTACAGTACGTTATGTCTGCGCACCCTGTATTGTCATTGCCATAGGGTGGGAATCCTTCACATAGAAACATAGCCATGTGAGCATACCTGCTTCATAGTAAAGACGTGGCAAGAACAGAGGAATACATGCAAGTGACTTTTAAGTATGCTATACTTGCTAATCCTTATTAATATTATAAATGTAAAAGTGAGTCCGTTTCTTCATTTGTTACCTGTTCGCAACTTTACGGCTTAACCAATTACTATAAAATTTGGTATACACATACTACATACTAAATAAATATGAAAGAGTTTATTTATTACAGCTTGGAGAGTGAATGGCTCAACCAATTTTTATTAAATTTGGCACCCACATTGTAGTTAAGATGGAGAATGATATACTCATAGCCTACGTTATATTCTAGTGACGCAAGCAAAATCATGATTAAAAACTAGTATCGAAATTTATTTTTTACAATCCACAAGGTCAAATGATGGATTTAGTATCGATACAATAAAACAACACTAAGAAATAATGAAAATTTGCTTACAAAATTTATAAATATATAAACTAAGTCCTTCTTTTGGAAGTAGTTTATAAATAAATGACGTATTGCGTATTTTAGGTAGTGTTTAAGTAATCAGATATAAAACAGTTTACTATATTGCCCATGAATGCAGCCGGGATGGCAGATTGTTGGTACAAACGTAAGCACAAAATACGCATCTTAAAACCAAACTAACAATACGATATGCAATACTCAATATTATAATATACTCTAACCGACTATATTTACTTAACACGTCAATATCCTTGTTTTCTTATCTCGCTCTGACATATATGTTATTATGTTTTTTCTCTTTTACATTGCCCATCCACATATATATTTTAAAATCAACAAGACGATTTTAAAAAATATATAAAAACTTATTTTTACAAATGTTTTAAAGAAACTTATTAAGAATAAGTACAGCATTGAACAACATCTTAAGTTACAGTTAGGTACAAAAAAAAGTACCCCATACCCATCTGCCATAAACTAACACGGAAATAAACCGCAAAAAATTCAGGGTCTCACTACACAGGTACACTGATTTCCCTACTTTTGTTAGCTTGCTTTATGTCTTAACAATATACACGGGCATTTTGTGATCGGTTTTCAATAAATGCTTGTAAAAGGGCATTCATGTTCATTCTTGTCATCCTCTTCAAATGTTTTCATTAGATATTTGGGTTACGGGTATTCAGATTAATAATATAATTAGAACAGAAGTAGAATACATCACAAATGCTAAATCTTCTTATGATACTAATTTGCTAAAACATGAAGTCGTCAAAGAAATTAATGTGAAATACAATGATTGGCATAAAATATTCACTGATGGAGCAAAGTCTACGGGTGGGTTAGGCGCAGCGTTTTGTGATTTAAGTAAAAATCATTTCGGTTGCTTTAAAATCAATTGTAATATGTCTATTATGTCAGCGGAATTAATTGCAATTTTAGAAGCATTGATATATATCTCATCTATCATAAATGTTAAGAAATGTGTAATTTTATCAGATTGTAAGAGCGGATTACAACACTTAATTTATTGTGCATCTGGAAAAAGAGGAATTCCTATTGCTTACAAAATTTTAGAACTCATTCATAAATTAAACCTAAGCAAAATTGATCTAATACTGCAATGGATTCCAGCACACGTTGGTTTACGGGGCAATGAAGAAGCAGATCGTTTAGCTAAACTGGGCATAGAGAAAGGTAGGGAACATCAGTCATTACCACATTTTACTGATTATATATCTAAATTCAAAAATCAATGTCAAAAAGATTGGAAAGAATATTTTAACGAAATTTCAAAAGAAAAAGGCATTTGGTACAAAACTATTCAGGCTGAACCACCACATATTCCTTGGTTTTGTGGAATTAAAATCAATAGTTACTGTATTAAATTAGCTGTTCGTTTACGTTCTGGTCATTATCCATCAAAAAAATTTGCACATATGATGGGAAAGTCCTTGTCACCCCATTGTCAAACTTGTAGTACCATCGATGATGTGCATCATATTCTATTAGAGTGTCGTATTAACACGAAGGAAAGAGAAGAATTCATGCGCAACTTTAACTTAAATAAGTTGAATGTTGGTCTTATTCAAACTATGTTAGCTGAACTTAAACCAGAAATTTTTGAACATCTCTGTAAATTATTGATGCCCATTAATTCTTCTCTTTCCGCGTCTAGGGAAGGTAGATAAAGTTTTGTTGGAGAAATCAGTTCAGGGTACAATAGGACTGATATACCTGAAGAAGGTAAAAGCCCTTAAAATATTAAAAAAAAAAAAAAAAAAAAAAAAAAAAATGTAAAAGTGAATCCGTTTCTTCATTTGTTACCTGTTCGCAACCTTACAGCTTAACCAATTACTATAAAATTTGGTATACACATACTACATACTAAATAAATATGAAAGAGTTTATTTATTACAGCTTGGAGAGTGAATGGCTCAACCAATTTTTATTAAATTTGGCACCCACATTGTATGAATGAATGAATGAGTATACTTTATTTGCATTATACAATATAGGAAATAAACAAGACAATTTACAAACATACCGATACAATTGTATAAGTACAGTAAAGCTTGTAGTTAAGATGGAGAATGATATACTCATAGCCTACGTTATATTCTAGTGACGCAAGCAAAATCGTGATTAAAAATTAGTATCGAAATTTATTTTTTACAATCCACAAGGTCAAATGATGGATTTAGTATCGATACAATAAAAGAACACTAAAAAATAATGAAAATTTGCTTACAAAATTTATAAATATATAAACTAAGTCCTTCTTTTGGAAGTAGTTTATAAATAAATGACCATTGCGTATTTTAGGTAGTGTTTAAGTAATCAGATATAAAACAGTTTACTAACGCCGATCCATCGTATTGCCCATGAATGCAGCCGGGATGGCAGATTGTTGGTACAAACGTAAGCACAAAATACCCATCTCAAAACCAAACTAACAATACGATATGCAATACTCAATATTATAATATACTCTAACCGACTATATTTACTTAACACGTCAATATCCTTGTTTTTTTATCTCGCTCTGACATATATGTTATTATGTTTTCTCTCTTTTACATTGCCCATCCACATATGTACTTTAAAATCTAAGTTTAAAATGTCTATAGCTACAAGACGATTTTAAAAAATATATAAAAGCTTATTTTTACAAATGTTTTAAAGAAACTTATTAAGAATAAGTACAGCATTGGTACATCTTAAGTTGCAGTCAGGTACAAAAAAAAGTAGCCCATACCCATAGCCATAAACTAACAGGGAAATAAACCGCAAAAAATTCAGGGTCTCACTACACAGGTACACTGATTTCCCTACTTTTGTTAGCTTGCTTTATGTCTTAACAATATACACGAGCATTTTGTGATCGGTTTTCAATAAATGCTTGTAAAAGGGCTTAAGGCTGCTTACCTTCTACCAGAACGCAGCTTTAGAGATGATTTAGACGTAGTTAACATTAACATAAAGATAGTATAAGATAAAAGAATATAAACACCTACCGCTTTCTGAACATTCCCGGCTCAGTTCAGAAATGGAAGATGACGGTGTGCTTGATGACTGGTACTCATCCTGAGGATGTTTTCCATTCACACTTGATTGCGGAATGTTCAATAAAGGTACTGGAGGAATGGCCCCACTGAAATGGCAAAGAAAAATAACAATTCATGATATTAATAATATAAGTTGCTAGTATATTATATATGAATTTTAAGTTCATATACATATATACTAGCAACCCAACCCAGACTCGGAAGGCTCTTTGAAAACAAAGTACAACAGATTATACTGGCTGATAATATAGCTTTATATAATTGATTTTCCTTTTAATTTGTTTTTTAGTTTATTCATTTCAAACGAATAAAATCTTTTTTTCTTTATATTAGTTTAGCTTTACAAAAATTGAAAACTTTCAAAAGCGATCACATACGCGATTATGGAATCAATATTAAAGCAATTTTAATAGTTCTTGCAGTTGATAGGAGTTTCTATTTGTTACGTCTAGAATGGTAGTTGCTACTTCTAGTTGTTTTTTATATCAAGGACAAATGGTACATTACAGGATGAAACCGAAATAGTCAGCCGACATAAAACTAAGAACTTGTCCATGCTATAGTATGCCACAAAACAGAAATTACGTGAAGCAAACATTTGAGCCTATTATACCATATTGTTAATATGAGATTCTCAAAATTTTATGATGTTTCGGGCCCATGTTTCTTTGTTAAAAATATTCAGATTTACTGGTAAAACCATCCTTAAAATTGTATATGTGCGATTAAATACCTAAGGGGAAGGGGGTTAATAACATATATTTCGAATTTTATATACCTCGTATGTAAGTCTGGAGGTGAGTTGGCATATACAGGCTGTACAGTTTCACGCGGTGGGCCTGTAAATAAAATGTATTAATACTCTAAAAACTAAAAATAGTAATTTTAGTCATAATTGATTAACAACTATTTGAATTAAAATTATAATTAAGAGAAAAAAATTATGGTAAATGTTTTAAAATTCAAGTCGCTTCATAATAATAAAATTTTACACTATCAAACAGAAAAGACATTTTAAAATAAATACAAAAAGTATCTCTACATGTATTTAAAACAAAAAAGCAGTTACAAATTCAGAAATAACCATGATAGGAATTTTAAGACTAATAACATAGTTGTATATAGTTTTAATATTAAACAATCCATTTTAATGTTTATTGTTTAAATGAAAGGGTTTACATTCACAATTCTCTTCAACAAACTGTAAACGAAGTAGATAAAAAAAAACTCTTACCTCCTGGAATACATTGTGGTCGCACTATATTTATATCTTTTAAGTGGCTCAATGTATGAGGTGGCAAAATACCAGTCCTAAAAAAATTTTCTTTCTCAAATGTGGTAGCATGTACGAAAAAACATAGGAGTCTTTTGCATTTTCCATTTGCAAAGTCGCGACAAAACTTGTAGACCCCATTGAGTTGGTCTAAATCTAATTCGTGAGCATAAATACAAGCTTCTCCCCTTTTACAACATCCTCTTACAAAGTCTTTACACATAATTTTCTTTCTTTTATTTGGTTTTAACTCCATTGAATATTCTTTCATATGCCCATTTTCTGTTTTTTCCTCCGAATTTAACTCATATGAGTCATCCTCGACTTCAGTTTTGAAAGTAAAGTTAGTGGGACTGTCTGGTGGTGGGGAATATGGTGGTAACGGTGGCTGTATGTTTGCCTTATTGCCATTTTCTGTAGTTTTATTAGAAGAAGACTCAGCAGTGCCATTTGATGCAGATGCTATCTTATCCTCCTCAAACTTTGATTTTAAATACTTCTTCATGTGTTTAAAATTTGGTGATGGCTTAAATTTTATATACTTAGCATCTCCTGATGACTTTTCCGAACCTGAATTAAAATAAAACCAGATGAATTATGAATTAAACTCAGATGCCAAGGATAACATATATACATATCGTGGAGTCAATAAATGAACAGTTAAGTGACTTTCTCAGGTCTTTATTGTAACTATGGGCTATTAAAATTTTTTTTCTTATCAGATATAATTGAGAATTGACTTGTATTAATTTAAATTTAATAGGTTGGTGTAGTTTTCTAAAAAAAAACATTCATAAATGTGTGAATTTGCCCTATAGATAAATGGTGTACCCTAATTACTAATGTCTGACCGAACTTTCCGTTTCGGTTTCGGCCAGAAATTTCATTCAAAATAAGAAGAAAATTCTTTCTCAGTACTTACTAAAACATATATAGCAAGCAAAGTATCCTAAACTTGAAAAATGTCTAAAATATGGATAAAACAAGAACAGAATAAAAATAATCCTGTAAGCAGCCCTCTATTAATAAGGGCGGATTCGACCAAACGAGAACAAATTTTATTCTTAAAGTGCTAGTTATTCGAGAATAAATTAATTTTACGTTTTACCGATTACAATTCTAAGATTAAGGAATCTTATGCTATCAAATGCGTGTGGTGATTTCTATACGTAGGTACAATTAAGTACTAGTAATCTTATATTATAGTGGGCCTCCACTAAACTTAACAGTAACTCTCTCTCATGTTGTAGACAATTTGAACCAGTTTCCGTTTATCTTCAGCCATTTTCTTACAAAATAAGTACAAAAATGTAGATACACTACGTGGTTGTCAGTTGCATTGACAAAATGTCACTTGATATGTGGTCCCGGGATAGAATAGGCCCCCACTTCCTTTACCGTGTGCGTCGTAAGAGGTGACTGAGAGAACTACATGCCTGAGGAATGTAAGCAGCAGTGTACCATATCAACCATTAATTGTTTATTATTGAACATAAGCCCCACCCTATTGGCCCTTACAAGGCTATTAGCTACAATTATTATTGTTAAAACTTGTATCATAGCAATGCAATTGAAATATTGAATTAATTGTATCTATTAGAAGGAAGTTGGAACTCAGGTCTACTACCCAAATTTTGGGTTGATAGAAGATACTCTACTTAAACACTTAAAAACTAATAAATACAACAAAATCTCAAACTTTCTAATCTGTCCACAAATTAAGACTAAAATAAGTTAGTCTTTTTATGATAAACATTGTTGTTTGCTAACAAACAAGAGACCAGATTATAATTTACTCTTTCCAAGCTACTAACATAAGATTTATAGAAGTTTGCCGTGCTTTAAAACATATGATAGCAAAGAACATACATATTATAAATTCTACATTAAAAAGTTATAGAAAGTGGAAGAAAATTTCGTGTGTGTTGTATAAATACAATCAATTCAAAATAAAATTTCGATCAGCATTTGTACAACCCAAAATTTTATACATAAGGTTTTGAACTTAAGTATTTATAGATAGCCCAACGCAAGTAATACACATACTGTTAAATATTCCTAGCCTAAAAATAAAAGCCTACAAAAACAAAAAAGTATATTAAAAATATACATACTTGTTTCCTTTGACATGTTAATTTTTACTCAAAGCACTATTCAAAAGTCTTCTTGTAACTCGGAATTAAGTCTGATAAATAAAACGTCGTAGATATATAAATGACCGTCATAGCAAACGTAAGCGACCATTACATGAAAGCGTCAAAGATAGTGATGGGATTCGAGTTGCTTTTCACTCGAGTGACTCGAGTAGTTTTTATATTACTTGCACTCGAGTTAAATTTTTGACGACTCGAGTTTCGAGTGACTCGAGTCGACTCGAATTACAAGTGACTCGAATTGACTCGTACCACTCGAGTGGTTTTTACCGAGCCGAGTGAGAAATTCAAATTGTGACAAGTTTACCCGCGGTAGCAGGAAACTTTTAAGAGAGAAAATTCTTCTTGATGCTTATCATACCGCATGCACTATAATTGTAGATATTCTACATTTAGTTGAACATACGGCTGCTACAACAGATTTATGGACTTCTGACAATAATAAAGCATACCTAACTATTACAATACTTAGTTGAGGTTTTATTTATGTTACTTTTAAAAATAGAACTTATTTATTTTTCTTGTTATGTCAATGAGTATTTTGTTTATTAGAGAAAAGTCATTATTTTTAAAAACATCTATCTAATATATATCTTTATTCAGTATCTTATATTTTTATTGTTTTATCCAACGAACCCTTCACACTTATAATTCAAAACTTTTTTCGCAAACTATTACTACTAGAGAGGTTACGGAGAAACATTCTTCTATCATTTTAGCAAGTGTGCTGAAGTCGATATTATCGAAGCCGTTTGGTAGGGGAAAAATTGATCAATCCATTTTTTTAAAGTAGTTATTACACCAATCTCAGTTAAATTTGTTACCTCATTAAAAATATACATAAATTGTGTAAGAACATAATAAAACTATTCATATTTGGATTTCATGAAAGTTCCTTGTTAGAATAAATTAAATTGGATTAGAACTTATTAGTAGTAGATTATAATATTTTAATTTGACTGATAGTTGATACAAGAGGTTTCTTGATTATGTATGACAGGTTTAGTTTGAAGGAAAAATCTATTTTTTACATTTTGTTTAGATTTTTTTTTTTTTGAGAAAATGAATACACATTTTCTATGTAAAATTAAAACTGTTTTATTCGTTTTAAAATTTTGGTCACTCGAGTTTTATATTCCGAGTGACTCGAGTCAATAAAAATCACTCGAGTTTTATCTTCACTCGAGTGGCATTCGAGTGAGTAACTTATCAGTACCGAGTGACTCGAGTGAAAAAAAATCACTCGAGTCCCATCACTAGTCAAAGAGTATATACTCAAGGGGAAAGAGAACGCACTTCATTCAAGCTACGTAAACCGACTTGGTCAAAAATATCTGACCAATCTACACAAAAATCTTCATTTTCCTGTTATGTTGGCCAGTCTGATGTTCAAAATGGAAACAAAATGTTATAATTATACTATAGTTTGACAGTTGAAACGGGCAAAAATATATTAATTTTATGACAAATTGCATGTTCCGATGAACATTTTTTTTAGCAAAAATAAAACAAAATATTTTAAAATATATTTATTATTTTATACAATATTACTTTGAAATCGCCATTTCGTAATATTATTGATAGTAAATACAAGTTTTCAACACTGCTCGTAATATCAGCTCAATTTTTAAATTAGACCTCGTAATGGAGTCAATATATACGGTCATGTAATATTTTCTCCATACTAGCCTACTCTGAATTACGAAAAATAGCCACTGATGGTATATCTTTCGTCCTCTTTTTACTAATTACATTTGCATAAGAAGAAAGGAGGCCATATGATTTACAGTTTTTAATTTTATAATTCCTGTTATGTAATTCCTTGTTCTTGAAGCAATACAATATTATCTATATATTTCTTGAAAAAGCAATCCACACATTTTTTAATATGGCAACTTTAGTCTATGTTTGATGTATATAAATCTAGAGCGATGCTCTCTGTTTGTGTCTGGTAATTGAAGGAAAAGAAATAATGTAGTCTGTAATACATTTTGTAACTTAATAATAAATATGAACAGTGTGTTAACTTATATAGTACATTACTGCAGCGGCCAGCAACTGAGGTATTGATGAACGAACGTGCAAATGTGGGCCGAGGCGCAGCCAAGGCACACATACGTGAGTCCATTAATGCCTAGTTGTGGCCAAGGCTTGTATAGTACTTTTCTCAAACAATGCGCGGAAATCGGTGTGTGCGTGTGTGCGTGTGTGCGTGTTTGCGTGTGTGCGTGTGTGCGTGTGTGCGTGTGTGCGTGTGTGCGTGTGTGCATGTGTGCGTTCAGTGGAATTGGAAAACCAATAAAACTGACGAAAGCCTTTCAGATGAGATAACTTTTTATTTAAGGGCTCCAGTTAGTGGTTTTAATGAAAATCCTTTGGAAGTACAGATGGATTACAAGGTACAGCTCTGTTCCATCTGAAAGGCTTTTTTCAAAGGCCGCGCAGGTCTTAACAGAGAAAAATCGACTGCAAGCTAAACGAGTCAATAAAATTTTATTTATGAAAGGGTTAAATAAGAAATATTGGGATCTTTAAATACTTTTTTTGAAATTAAAGTTGATTGAAATATTAACATGGTCGTGACTTAATTCTTTACTTTTAATTAATTTTTATCTTTCCTTTTGTAACGGTTCGCCATATGTGTAAAAATACATTTAACGCCATCTTGCAGAGAAATGTTGAACTAGTAAGAAATTTAAATAATAAATTAATATTTTAATATTTACCGAAAAATGTATAAAGCTAGAATACGATCTATCAAAATTAATACTATATGAATGTCAATTTAATATTAAATTATGATGGTTGATATTGATGCATTGTTAAATCGATGTTCAAAATGGCTACGGTAACCACTTGCCATCAGGTGGGCCGTATGCTTGTTTGCCACCTCACTGGTATAAAAAACATTGTACGTCATAATGGATCTGAATACTCAAAACTACTATTTTTATATGAAAATCATATATGTTACAAAATTTATAAATTAGAATATTTAATAAATTTTGAGTAGGATTTAGTGAACTTATAGGCATACAATAAGGACTTAAAATTAATTATTTCTCTGTCAAATTTTACAGAAGAGTAGGAAGTCGGAAATATATTCTACATTTTTACGTGAAGAGGGCGCTTTGCATATATAAATTAATAGAAATTAATTTATTAAAAGTTATTATTTTATGATAAAAGTTAGCAGTAAAATAAGAAAGCATTATTGTGAAAATATAATTACTTAATTAACTTTAAAAAGAAAAATCTACTTAATCAGACACTAAATTTACTACCACAGATAAACTATAAATTGAATGACACTTTAAGTACGTAGGCGGGAAGAATTTAAATTTATCTCCTGACTAGGTAAAGTAATGAAAGAATGGGTAAGATTGCATGTCTATCTGGTTCAATAATAATGAATGTTATCGTAGATTAAAATTTATATTACATGTTTAATAAATTTGATAAAACTATGATTTTAGTATATGTTTTGATTCTGAATGATTTTGTTTAGGAATAATATACATTTATAAATTATGAAAAAGCGTGGTATTTTGGCGCGAGCCAATAGAAACAGAGCACATAGGTAACCTAAATTGGGGATAACCAATAGGAATGAATAGAATGAAGTTTTTGGGATATTGGAGGGAAAAATGAACGAAGGATAGAGTGACGAAGGAATGACGAGGGGGACCCTATAAAAGAGCCCGAATGGAGGAGCTCAGCTTTTTTCTCATTCGGCGCGCTAGCTGCAAAAATTGGAAGAACACTCATCGGGTCCGTAAAGAAGGCTCCTCTCCGTGCTGGTCAAGGCTCTGCCCGATTCGCTTGGTTCATTTATTTTAAATTCTATAGTGTTAAATTTTATTAAATTCGGAAGTAAATCGCGAGTGATTCCTGGTTGGCGTGTTGCGGGTTCCTGATTGTTGGTACCTGATTGCCGTGTAGCAAGTTCGAGGTTGGCGTAATCCAGTGAGTCTGTTCCGTTTTCTTGACTGTACTAATCCATATTATTTCCTCGTGTTTTAAGGATATTTAGAATAGGATTCAATCAGCTTAGAGTATTTTAAATTCATTTTTATCAAAATTTAAGTTTAATAATTTAAATTCCATTTTACATTAGAGACAGGAATAGCTAGGGTTTTAATAAGGTTTTCAACTAGTAAAGATTATTGGAACTGAGAAGAACTTTTCTCATTAGGTTTAGCAAATAGCTAGGTATAGTTTTGGAAATAATAAATTCAGAAGGTAGTTAAATATTTATAGATTTTGCTAAATAATTTAGGACTAGCTAGGAGTTTTGCTAGGGATTTCAGCTAGCGTAGGAGAACATTTAAGAAATTAAAACATAAATTGATCAAAGGAATAATGTTCACAAAAATGGAGGAAGCGGATAATACGCAATCAATAATGCTTTATGTAATCCACATAATTATTAATTGTATGACTAATAATATTATTTTCAGCATCTATTTATTCTTTCAGCATTTACTTTAACTAATTAATTTTATTTCAGCAATACGATTTTATGTGCACGTGTGTACCTACAAGTTGTCGAATTTTATCATTTAATTTTACTCTGTTCTATTTCTATACCAATTTTAAATTTTATGTGCATGTGAATATTTTATAAACTTGACTGTACTAATTAATATTATTCCTCGTGTTTTCAGGATGTTTAGAATAGTATATAATCAATTTATTTTCAGCATCTATTTATTCTTTCAGCATTTACTTTAACTAATTAATTTTATTTCAGCAATACGATTTTATGTGCATGTGTGTACCTATAAGTTGTCTATTTCATCATCATAAGTTTACTCTATTCTAATTTTATGCCAATTTAATATTCAAGTACATATGTGTATTACTTTTCTTATTTCATAATTTGGTTTAGAGTGTTGCTTTAATATTAGAAACGATTCGTAATACTCTGAGATCAAGACTCCTTTAATCCATCTGTGGGACGATTGCTGCTTCATAAAGTGGCTTATTGTCATACAGATGCGTTGTTCTGAGCCTGGTTCAACGTCAGAGTATAGTATAGGGACCCATTAGCGATCCGTAACATTCTTTAATACACTACAACCCTCGAAATCATTTATGTTGTTATAGTACCCAACTACTTAAAATAAATAATCGTAACATTAATCTACCTGTGAATATTTTATAAAATGTGCTCATTGACTCTAAACTATTATCGTCTATTCACAATTCGCGTTATATTTTGTTATACGTCTGGTTCAGGGTCCATTTTGGTTAGATTTATTTTAACGTAATGTTAGAATAGGTCTCGAATGTATTACATTGAATTAGCATTTATAATAATTTAATTAAGTGAATTAGTTTCAATGTTTGGTTATTTGTTTAAAATGCTTAATCGATTTTAATGATATTTTTAAATGACATTTTATTCAATCGATAATATAATACTCCTTCGAAATGTCTATTTTAGTAAGTTATTTAATTAAAATTTTGATAGTGATAGCCTTGTTTAAATAGTTATAATAGTGTTATTACTTCTATTAGATCGATTTTTATGATGCTTTATTTAAATGCCATTTTGTTATCTGTTAAGCCCATTTCAACGACTATTTTATCTAGTTATTATAGTAATGTGATATTAATTAGGTGGATTCGATTATTCTTTACTTAAATATTATTTTATTCCATTATCCAAATAAGCCGATTTTTTACCCGAATTTAGCGAACTATTTATCTGAATATTACATTTTATATTACGTGATTTCGATTAAGTCTATTTTGAAGATTTTGTATTTGTCATCTTTTACATTATTTGATAAACTGATTATAACTATTTTTATTTAACCATTAATCGTTCCCCGCGGCATTGCCCGCTTCTAGTTATGTAGTTTCGTATATCATTTAATTTACTTAGAAATACGGTCTTATATGATATTATATATATATAAATGATAATTACGTACCTAATACATTCATGAAGCTTCAACCAAAGCAACAGATCGGTCATTTTATAGCATTTCGTATACGATTATTTAGAATCATATAACTTTTATTTATGAACCGATTGAAATAAAAAAAACGCTAAATGTCCAGTAAAGTAAGCTGCAAAGCACTAGTGAAAGTCGCGTTTAAATCGTTTAAGCCGTTTCTAAGATTATCGTGCACAGACGTATAGACAAAAGTACTAAAACGTTGTTTTGGGTTTATTACTTTCTTGAATATAATGGGTTTTCTTATATTTTTGTCTTCTATGCACGGACGGCAACCAGTTGCAATTTTATTATATGTATAGATCGCGAAGCCAACTTTAACGAATCATTTATCTAAATACGGAGTTTACATAAACCGATTTCAGTTATTTTCTATTTGGTTATTATATTTATGCGTTTATTATTAGATAGACTTGACATCTCTTTACTTAGACACCTTCAGTTCATTATCCAAATAAGCTGAATTCTAAGCAAACTTTAGCAAATTTATCTAACCACTTCATCTTAAATACTAATTTAATCGTTTCTAAATAGTTATTATAGTTGTGTGGTATTCATTTATTACTTGACTATTAGGTAGATTAATTTATTTAAAATATCATTATCTGAATAGGCAGGCTTTAAACATTATTACGGTATACTATTCACTTAGCCATCTTACATTTATTTAAATACTACATTAAATACAAATACATTACAAATACATTCTTATTAAAATTTGGCTCCGGCCTCCATGTTGGATCCAGAGTATGTGGTTTATAATATAAAGGTTTTGTGTCAATTTTAGATGTTGCAAAAAATTTTCCCAACATAGTAGACGAAAAGAACAATCAAAAAGTTGATAACGAAATTCGACAAATTAAATTTGATAAAAGTGTGAAGAGATTTGTTAGAATCAGGAGGAAGTAGCACTATCAGCACAATTTTGAGTAAAGACAAATTTTGTTGAGTGATTGAAAAAATCAAGGACGCGAATACCACCACGTACCACGGACGAACTTTAAACCAATTAAAAACAACTAAAAAGGTGTCTTCAAAATTTGTGTATTTAAAGAATGAAGACGAAAATTTAGAGGCAAATATTAATACGAAGAGTAAATATTTTTGTTGATTAAGAAAATTTCATTGAATTCATTGTGTATATTTTTCCATTTCCTTGTAGGCATATTTTTGAAATTTTTGACGGCAAGTTTGGAAATTTTGGCAGTTTTTTTGCCCGGTCTGTGGCAATTTGCTATTAATGAAATGGTCACACTGTACAGTGCTGTCATTTTTATGGCTGTATCTATGGTATCTCATTTTTGCATTCCACCAAAATAAAGCACTCCACTTCTGAAATAAAATGGTCTCTTTACTTTTTTCTAATAATCTTAGCCTATTAAGTCTATATGGACGATATTTTATTTACCAGATCAGACTCTGTTACTCGTGGCAATAAAACTTTTGAATAGTACTTTGAGTAACAGTTAATATTTTAAAGGAGACAAGTATGTATATTTTTAATATACTTTGTTACTTTTTAGGCTTTTATTTTTTAACTAAGAATATTTAATGTTGTGTGTATTCTTTGCTTTGGGCTATTTATAAATTCATAATTTTTGTTCCGACTGAATTTTAATTGTATATTAGACTACACAAACAAAATTAATAAATATATCCTTTTCTATTACATATCTTAAAGCATAATAAACTTCTATATAATTTATGTTGGCTTCTTTTGGTACCATTGGCATCACAGTGGACTTTGTGATGTCTGCGGTGCTGAATGTCTCGCCTATGTTTACCACTTTCTATTAGGTGGACCATCAGTGTTTGCTATTCGAAGAATCACAAAAAGAAACTCAAATTTATTTACAGTTTTTTTTTGTAGTATGTTTGCAGTGTCTTCAATAACACAGCTTTGTAAATTGTACATTTAATTCCAGTGGCTCCCACAGTAATCTTTGATGATGAAAACATTAATCCTGTACCAGAAGAATGTCTCACTTCTGAAGTTTATAAAATAAGGTACAGTAAGACCCCACTTAATGCTGTTTTGGTTTAGTGCTCTTTTGTTTCTACCTGGGGATTCCTGAAATTGTTGCAGCTCTAGGTTTCTAAATATGTACATAACATATCGGAAACAGTGTAGTTGCGTTTCTTGTTTGGTGCTACACAAAAATATTGATAGTAGTGATATCAAAGAAGAGCAAAAATAATTTTTGATGGCATTTGCAGAAAGGAGTTTGACCACTTTAATTGAGATTATGTACCAACTTGTGAAAATAATCAAAATTTTGACAATTCAAAAGCTAGACACGGTGTTGTAGATGCTTCATCCACTTATTAACAACTTCTAACAGCCTTCTAACTTCTAGGAATGTCTTGCTATAAATAAAGGTTACAAACGAAAAAGACGAACTGTGTTTAGAAAAATGTTTTTAAGTGTTAAAATAAAATTGTTTTTTAATCGTGACGTCTGCCAAAATAAACTAATTCATATCTCTCGAGAAAGATAAAATGTAAAAGCATCAAAATTAAATTTTTTCTAAAAATACCTATGCTGTTGTATGATGACTGTTCTGTACCAAAGATTAAAGAACATACTAAAGATTTCTAAGAAAAACTATACAATATAATATTGTAATATCATAATACGTTACTTTGTTATATATTTATACAGTAATATGTTATAGTTATCTGTTAGTATATAGATAGAGTTGGCCATGTGGTTCCGGTATAGAATAGGCCACCCCTTCCTTTCCCATGGGTGTCATAAAAGCCGACTAAAGAGAGCAGGGGATGGGCAAAAGCGTCCCTCTTAAAACATCTCTAAAGCCTGACTGTGGTTGCTAATCCGCCTACCAAGCGTGGCAACTATTGGCGAAACCTCCCCAAGGGGTAGGCTTATGTTCAGCAGTGGACAGTTAAAGGCTGAAGGATTTTAATGGAATTTAAGGTCTGTTAATATTTAAGAAGTAACAGAATCGTTTAATAGTATCAGATGGTGAGATAAACAACAGTTAGCAACTTATAACTAACCAAAAGAACACTAACGGTACACCAAAAAATAAGTAAAGAAATATGAAGGTCCCAACCTGGTTGATCTCCATGGGACGGCGGACCAATATGCCTCTGAATTTACAAATATAATAAATAAAATAATTCGAGTTTATCTCACACTTGTCCGGGTTTTTTTTTTTTTATACAATCTGTATATTTATGAACTCATATTGGTAAATGCTAAAATGTGTAACATATATGCCAATGTAATATATAATTATTGAACGTGTATGACATTACTTTACTGTATTTATATTTATCTAATTTGTTACATAAACGTACGATTATGTAACAAATTAGATGTTGTCGATTGATAATGCAAATAATTACGTATTTGTTTGCACTATTATTTTTCAGTTAACAAAATGCGTTTGACGAAAATATTGCTAAGTTATTAAAAGAGAAAAATTGGCTCACTGCAGTACTAAATCATGTTGCCGGGTTCAGACACCTACAACAATACTGACACGAATGCTTGAATTTCCACCAGAGTGATAATAAAAATTATTTGTATTATTTTTATCCATACTAAGGGTTAGGTTAGTAGGTTTCTTGACAGTCTGCGGGGAAAGCATTTTATGATTTGCAAATGTTTATTCTATTGCTTATGATACTGATATATACTCGTATTATATGCGATACGATGGAGAAGGGATGTTTTGTACGATGTATTGATTGACAGAATTTATAACTGCTGTTTTAAATATATGAATACAAACTTTTTGGAGTTATTTTATAATGTATTCTGTTGGATAGTTTTAAATTTTATACACAATACATCACATCACATTAGAAACCTTTAAAATTATCAGTGTTTCTATACTATATTATGCATGTATTATACATATAAACCTTCCTCTTGAATTACTCTATCTATTAAAAAACCGCTTCAAAATCCGTTGCGTACTTTTAAAGATTTAAGCATACATAGGGACGGACAGACAGCGACTTTGTTTTATACTATGTAGTGATACTAGCATAAGAATAATTTATTAATAGGATACTAGTTTATAATTGTTTATAATAAAAAAATAGCCATAGTATTATATAAAAATATTGTTGAGTAGGTATTCGTATTATCATGCTATGTTACGGAAGCGTTTTCACAATTTCTTAATATTTCTTAAATGGCTTTGGAAAATATTTACAATTTTTTTTTTATAAAGTCAGATCAAATAATCTTAACATAGAGGATTTTGTACAAATTTAATCACAGAACATACATTATTATTACTCCATAAAAATTCTATTATTACTCATTACAACAATTATAGGTCATATTTTCTCTAAAAAATCTTTTAATAATCTTGATTACATTGTTAATAAATTTTGATGCACAAAGCTGTATCACAAAAAGAAACAAACTTATATACAGCTCACCTATCGTAGAATACTTATTGTCAGCTTCTTTATTGACAGTTTCACAAGTATAAATTGTTCATTTAATTTCAGAAGCTGCCCCCATAGAGTTTGTTAGACAATTTAAACCATAGCAATGTCTACGTTGTGGAATTTGTAAAATAAGGTATTTCAAATTCTTTATTCGATTTTTAATTATATTGTTTGTTTCAATAGAACATAATGACAATATAAACAAAGGAATAGTTGAACCTACAATATCACAGTTTGCTGAAGTCCGTCAGTTTTCACAATTCTTGATTATATTTTTATACTACTAAAGTATTATAGTCTACTAAAGTATTTAGTATATTTTTTATTAATTTAATTACATATTATACAGACTGTAAGGGACATGCTGGCAAAAACTGAAACTGAAATCAGATCATTATTCCGAACTGAAAACCAATGGAAATTCTTATGTAATCTATGATATTTTATCATAATATAAAGAAATAATAATATTTTTAGTGAAATACCAAAAAAAAGCAATGTATTATTCGTATTAAAATTCTACACCGAGATTCACGGAATCAGAGGGCCTACCATGAAATATTTTTCGAAATTTCGGGGACTAACGAAATAGAAATTTGATGTTAAAATTACATAATACATGCCGTTTAAAATTTTAAAAATGTTAAAATATCGTTCCTCTGGACTGTTACGATAGGATTTATGATGAATGAAATGTTAAGCTCCATTTACTGGGTCTATTTCGTAACGAACAAAAACACGAAATTGAGTCCGAAAATTCGAATATCATTTCATGGTAGACCACCAGCTGTTTGAGATCAACGCCACAGACGTACGAAAAATACTGAAGGAGAAGCGGCCATTGTGGGTATTCATCTGAATCACCTGTTTTCGTTATGGCCAACCTGTCCCTTCCACCCTGTAGATTGATTAAGAGATTGATATGTTGAGTATAAGAATAATATAAATAAGTGAATTTTGTTTTATATTGTGTAATAATGTGTTTTTATATAATAGTTATATGTATGTGTTGAATTATATGTGTATTAATTATTACATCGCATAAAAATTTAAATAAAAATATGTGGTTTCATTTCATTCTTTCATCCCAATTTATTGAATCCCAATCTTTAATTATTATATTGTTATTATTATATTGTATATAATACTTGAATTATACATATTGCTGGTCACATAATTAACATAAGAGTGAACTGTATAATAATTTGGTAATAATTTTTACATTAAAAATAATTCCACTGTGTCTGGGAGGCAGTAGGGAGTAAAACAATATCTACCGGACTAGACTGAATAGAAAAAGGAAGTAATATTACCGCCAAGATAACAACTTACCTACCCGTATATTGCCAACACCTAACATTGTATACGGGGGGGGGGGAGGGATTGTTAGTAATGGTGACTGCCAGTCCCATAGCAATAAACCCTGCCATGTCGATCTCCCCGTGGAAATCTCCTCCCCTGGATACTATCGTGTTAAATGCCAGGTGTATCTATCACGATGGGCTACTAACTGGTCTACCTTTTCATTCTCATCTATCATCCATCACTGGTGCTCCGCCAGCGTATACCGTTAGCGCAGGCGGGGTTACCATTCTATTATTATCCACTAAAAACATTGCATACGATCCTTATTGATAACTACTAGCCGAGTTTTGCATGCCTGCCTGCCTAAATAAGGTACGAACGAACCATGAATGAAAAATTTGTCCATGATAATGAAACTATCGATAAAATCGCTTCGGTCAGCGTCCATATGAGAAGGAACAGGACAGCGCATGTTAATGTGGATTAACAATTCTGTCAATAAATTACTTTGTCTAGGGGGGCTGTTTATAATATAAGATGAAAATGGTATCTCTGTGTAAATTATATATTTTTATTATATTATAATATAATAAAAATATATAATTTATTCAAACAAATGTAATAATAAGTATGAATAGTGATTTTTTTATGAATCTACCGCCCAGTTCGGACTGCAATTTCAGCTGAGAAGAACAGGCAAAAATATAGCTGTTGATTTTTTCAAATAAGTCTCTATCACAAACTTCGTATTGATAAAAAGAAAAAAATATATAATTAAAAAGCTACCAAGCTACAATCAATGTGTTCTTGAACAGACCAGTCACTACTTGAAGCACCATGGATGAACCAGTCATCATTGTGTTTAACTATAACCTAGGGAGCCTAACGAACCGGCCAACGACGACGCCGACACCAGCGTGGTGGGCATTCAATAGACCCTTTCATTACAAAATTAAAATGTTAATTTTATAATTAATTTAATAACTTTGTGAATTTTTTCAAATACTATACAGATCAGTTAAATAACAAAAAAATCATCATTTTAAAAGATAAATAATTTAAATTTGTATCTCCTGTCACTGAACAATCTTCAATTTTACTTACTAGTAGAACAACGATGAGCTTTTTTTTTCAAAATTCTTAAGGATGGTTCTTCTTATGCAGTTGGATATCGTTTTCAAACCATAATCGTTTTCAAGTCTATGTCTTTATAAGAAAACTAGTTGACCCCGTAAACGTTGTTTTACCACTTATTGCGAAATATAAAAGTCGCGATTAAAATACAGGGGTTGATCGTAAAACGATGAAAATTTAAAGTAGTATGTATTTTTCAATGCTAAATTATAATAAAATAAAAATAAAAAAAATTGTCAAAAAAATTAAAAAAAAATATTTTGGGGTGGGTCACCGTTATCACTTACGGGTATTAAAAATAGATGTTAGCCGATTCTCAGATCTACCCAATATGCACACAAAATTTCATAAATATCGGTAAAGCCGTTTCGGAGGACTTTGGTAACAAACACCGTGACACGAGAATTTTATATATAAGATACATCAGTTTAATCAGCATTAAAATGTTATTTTTGGATTATATTTATCTATCTCAGTATTTTTTTTTTTTATTTTGTTTAGGACATGAGTTGCGCCTGTTAATTGGTACTTGAGTATCAATTTACATAAATAGTAAATTGTATAACATAAAAATCCAACTTCAATTATGATAAAATCAGTTATTTTGATTTAAAAACTAAACTAGTAAAACGATTTTAATAAAATTTTCATAGGACCAATCTGCAAGTAAGTTTTCAGATAAAGAAAGAATTTCTAAATAATTGACGGAGTTGTGATGTAACAAATATAAAAAAATACAGCTGAATTGAGAACCTGAAAAAAAATTATTCTCAACAAAGTTTTTGAAGTCGGATGAGAATTATTTTGTTATGGGTAAAAATGGAATTGTAACCCGTCTGTGTTAAATTATTATTAAAAATTTAGGTGTGCATAATATCGGTATCGCGGGGAGAGAAGGGACTGTTAGTAATGGGGATTAGTAGCCCCATCGCTAGCAATATACTAATATTAGGTTGATCTCTTCGTGCTTTCCCCTGGAAACCATCGTGATTGATTTATTGTTAGATTCGTCACGGTGGGCTAACTGATCTGCTTCATTCTCACCTATCATCTGTCATTGGTGCTCCGCCAGTGTATACCAATAGCGCAGGCGGGGTTACCATTCCATTACCGACCATTAAAAAAATATCGGTATTATAATAATATCTATATATTGAGTTCCCTTCGACATTAATGGCGGAAAAATGGTTTCTATTTATTTGCAAATCTTGCGTACAGGTCGGATATTCACTTCAATTGGGTTATTCATTTTTATATTGTATATTTCTGGGGTGGCCGACTTAATTAGACCCAAGATCTACTGTTTGCTGACGAAAGCCTGTGCGATCTATCAATTACATACTTCTTAAAATCTCAAATGAAACAGTTCAATACACAATTATGCAATATATTGTGAAATATTTTTTTTTTTTATAAGAGGTAAAACTGAAAATAATTTTTAGTAACTATTTATTTATTTTAATATGAGTATTGCGTCTGAGAATCTTCCGCTAGATTAACAAAATATTATATATTTTGTCTTGCTATGATAGACATTGTATTCAAAATATTCTTATATGTTATCCACCTCTACTATCATCATCATCATATCAGCCTTTAACTGACCACTGCTGAACATAAGATTTCCCCTTGGGGGGGGGGGGGGGTTACCAGCAGTTACCATGGTTTTACAAGGAAACTCTATTTCCAAATGAACGGAGTTGTAAACTTAGCGCTTAACATACATTTTACTACGTAAAGCTTGCTTACGGACGAATCACTGTTTTGATTTATCAAAACCATTCATTATTACGAACTATTTGTACATATGTCGATTTACTGTTATCTGTCCACTTAACACTTAAGTTGGTAACACTATTAACTGTCTGAAACGAATCTAATTGTTTTTTACTATAAACACTGCACTAAAAATCCATTATTAATATATTTGTATATGTAGCGGCGATATAGTCGTCAGGAGCAAAAAGGGAATAAAGACAAAAAATTATAATGAATTATTACAATGTTGTAAAAAACATACACCCACTCGCCAGTTCGGAAATCAATTGCGTTAATTGTTTGAAATTCAAGTCATTCCGAAGTCCGGTGCGGTGCCGGTGGACGCCGATATTGACGCTGCTCGCGCCGCCACGCCGGTGTACGAGCAGCGAGTGGCTACTCAGGTGGGTCTTCAAATAGGGGTGGCGGGGGGCAGACCGCTAGGACGGGAGAGATCCATCTCGGAGGAATCGGCGCGCATTAGGTCGCGGGGGTTGAGCCAGAGACTCGGGCGTTCTGGATATGAGGATGTAGGGTGGTGAGGGAATGACACACATATAGTGGGATAGGCGTCTTGTACGCAGAGCCCGCGGAGATTGGGTATTTTTCCTTTGTTATAACCCGAATACGCGGTTTCGGCGGGGGGTCTTTTTGCGCGGGGATTGAGCGTGAGAGCGAGGGTGAGGAAAAGACAGATGCCTTTCCGCACATTCTCTTGTCGTCGTGCGTCACGCTAGGCGATGACGCCGACGACGACGAGGTGGTAGGTACGGCGCGCTTGGTCGCGCCGGAGAGGGGTCGAGCGGAAATCGGCGAGATGAACGCCGGAGAGGGGGACCGGGGGGTACCCCAAGACGCGGCAATCACAGGTACTCGCCATGGGATCCTGGACGATCTGGTCGACCCTCCGGCGAATGACTGGCTAGAGCGGGGTCCAAGGCCTAATGCTGACGGAGGGATAATCACAGATTTAGAGGGATCAAAGAGATCCCTCTTAAGAATGAGACGAGCGGGGGCGCGGCGAGGGCGTCCCCGCTGCGACATTATGTCGTCGTAAGTAAGGTGAGTGGGGGGGAAACGCTGCGAGGAGGACGGTGAGGGAAGGTATCGACGAGATGCTGATGGAGTGCCAAGGGACAGACGATTTCATCAAAAAATAACTGCCCTTGGCTCGTGGCTCCCGGCTGCGTCTGCGGTCGAAGTAGACGGAGTTTCCGCAGGTTAAAAACGCGGGGCGTGTGCGGAGTTGTAGCGCGGAGTTGCGGCGCGCAACAGGTTGCTATATGTCAAAAGATAAAAACTTAATAGTATGGATAAAAATAATTAATTATTACACCAGTCTAAAGTCAAGCACTCGTGTTATGACTTTTAGTCTGCGGTGAAACAATCATCATCATCATATCAGCCTTTAACCATCCACTGATGAACATAGGCCTCCCCATTGGGGGCTGTTGCCAGTAGATGCCACGCTTGGCAGGCGGATTGACAACCGCAGTTAGGCTTTTGATGATGTTTAAAGAGGAACTCTGCTACCTATCGTAGCAACTACTGGCAAAGCGATCCGGACTCGGTTCACACGGGTAGATAGAATTTTCGAATATATAACTATGTTACTCACGAATAACGTAGCCTTTTTATGTGAAAATCGTTAGAGTAATTTCGTGTTTATGCATTATAATCAACTTTTTCCTCTATAATATTAGTATAACTTAGGCAAATATATAAATGTGAAAAGGAGTTTATTTCTTTGTTACCAATTAGCGCCTAAGTAGGTAGTATAGATAAAAAAAATTAAGCACTTACCGTCTTCTGCACATTCGCGTTTCAATTAAGACTTGGAGGAAGACGCTGTGGCTGACTCCTGGTACAGATCCTAAGAATGTTTTGTATTCACATTTCACAGAATTTTCTATATTATCAGTAATATTTTTTAAGGTTACCCATTACAAACGAATAGAATCTTCCCTCTTTATATTACTTTAGCATTAAAAAAATGATAAGTTTAGGAATTTTAAAAAAGATTATCAATTCTTCTGTATTTTTTTTTTAAACTACAGTACGCAATTACGTCGACAATTCAAAACCATTTTAATAGATTTTACAATTGACGGCAGCTTCTGTATCTATTGCGAGATGGTCAGTTACAAATGTTGTACCAAGGATGAATAGTAAATTATAGAATTAAACCGAAATAGACAACAGACTTAAAACTAAGAATCTATTTAAGCTATAAAACAGAAATTACACAAATACATAATCAACATAATTTGTTGAGTCTCCCGCAACTGTGTTAATATGGGAAACTAAAATTTGTTGGCATTTTGATCCATGTTTGTTTGTTAAAATTATTCATATTTCATATGTTTATTTCTATTCCATAATGCTACAATAGGTAGTGAGTATTATGAATCATGATGGGCGCAGCAAGTAGCAATTGAAGAGATGGTCTTAATGTATGTTTTACATAATTAAAGACTGTGTCCAACAAAAAAACGGACTTCAATTGTAACAAAACCATTTATTTTGATTTAAAAACTAAACTACTGAACCGATTTTGATAAAATTTCTGTGGACTATATGTATATGTATGTATATTTTCAGATAAAAACAATAACTTTCCTAATTGGCTGTGCACTAATAAGTAACAAACATTAAAAATTTAACTGAATTGGGAGCCGTCTGTTTTTGAAGTCGGTTGAAAAACAAATTTGATTCGTTTTATTTTATACAACATCAGTAATAAATTTTATTGTAGTTTATATTTATATAAAATAATATATTAATAATTAGGATACTATAATAATTTTGTATTATTTTTCATAATAATTTAATAAACTATTTATTTTTTTTAATATTATGGTACAGCACTTATTAATTTTATTACAGTTTATCAGAAAAATACTTATTTACGTTGTAATAGAATTTATTTATTAATAGTTTTATAAATTTGTTTTTAATTAATTATTAGAAAATTTCAAAATCACAGAAAACATGTTCTATTAGCATTCAGTTTATATTAATGCGAAACACCTTAAGACTATTTCAATTGTATTAAATGTGTAAAGTTTTGTCAATTTTTATATTTTTTATGGAATTAGGTAGTTAATTATATATTTTTATTGGAATTATAAGAGGGCTAGGCGAATGCGTTGAAAGTCTAAATCGGGGAATATTAACTTGTTTTTGAGTCGTACATAATAATTAGATTTTACACTTTCTTTTTTATTGTATAAGTCAGGATATTTGTGAACAAATTTACAGTTTTTTAGAATATACAGTACATGGAAGAAGTAATATTTTAATTTTTTATAAAGTAAGATTTACAGATATCTGTTTGTTTTTTGTTTGCAAATAATTTTAGCTTTTTTTTGGGGATTAAAATGCTAGACCAGTCAACGCTATTTTCCCAAGCATTAATCCCGTAGCTCAGGCATGAGTAAACGTAAGCATAACCTCATCAAAAACATAAATGTGAAAAGGAGCTAAATTCAATATTACGAATATGCGACGGGGGAAAGGGATTGTTAGTGATGGAGACTGAAAATCCCATTGCTAGCAATATACCCAACCAGGTCAACCTCCTCGCGGTCCTAGAAACTATCATGGTTATTTTGTGATGAATTCATCATGATGGGCTAACTGGCCTGTTTTCATTCTCATCTATCACCCTTCACTGGTACTCCGCCAGCGTATTCCATTAGCTCAGGCAGGATTAGCATTCCATTTTCACCCATCAAAAAACAAAAAAAAATGCAACGTTTCTACTCCGCCGAAACAATAATTGAGATTTATAGGGGTACCAAGTTTAATGTAGAAAGTCTTAAAATTTGCAAAATATCAAAACATGCAACAGTATAAAATAAATTTATATAACAATTTCTTGTTTCCTGGTACTATTTCCATGTCTGCTATTTAATAGATTTCGTAAATTTTAATAGACAATTATTACCACAATGTGTTAATTTCACTTGGAATGTAATTTAAGCTCAAGTTTTGGCTTGAGTAGTTTTAATCAAAAAAATCAAAAGTTTTTTTCTAACATTTGATGTTTTAAGTAACGTGTGTATAATATCAATCCAACAGTATGAGTACAGTACAAAGAGGTCGTACACTAACTTGCGTGTGACTTAATGAAAATTAGAAAAAAAATAAAAATAAAGCCTGTACATAAAAACTAGCTAGAAGTTCACTTTTCTTCTTATAGGGCTCCCAGTTCATGTTTGTGTTAATATTTAAAATAAGCAAACTCGTTTACTACTTTTAAATTTATACTATTAAAACTGAAATTAATATCCAACGACTTTCTTCTAGTACAGATGAAGTCATCAATTGTGTTTTGCAAAAGTTTAATTCAAGGTTATGTTGAATGTGGATGACATTGGATTATATTATTTAAAATAATTCTTAATTTTTAAGATATATTCCGACAAGAAGTGAAAAGAGATAAGTCGTCTGTCTTTATTATTTTAGGAAAGTCTTTTATCACATAAAAGACTAAAATAAAAGGCATCAAAGTATTTAAAATATATATATATATATTAGTTAATTTTAACTATAATAAAAAGATAATTAATACCTATACAATAGGTTTTATGTTTTAGTACGGTGGTCGATGAAGCTATATTAATGTATATTTAGAATTTTATATACCATGCGTATAAATCAGAAGGTATCTTTGCATATACAGACTCTATATTTTCACGCGATGGACCTGTAATAAAAATTAAGTGTATTAAAGCTCAGGAAATTAAAATTAGCAATTTATGTTTTTATAATTTGTAAATCATAAATTAGAAATGATAGAAGAAAAAATTATGGTAATGGTTTTTTAATTCCCTTGACAATAACAATATTTCATATTTCTTCTTTAAATGAAAGTGTTTACATTCACAATTCCTTTCAAAAAACTGTAAACAAAGGAAATAAAAAATCTTACCTACTCGAATACATTACGGGCGCCTTACATTTCTTTCTTTCAAGTGTCTCAGAGTATGAGGTGGCAAAAAACCAGTTCTAAAGTAATTTTCTCTCTCAAATATGGTAGCATGAACGAAAATACAAAACTTTCTGTAACAATTTCCTTTTACATAATCGCGACAAAACTTGTAGACTCCATTCAGTTGTTTTAAATCTAGTTCATGGGAATAAATACAATCATTTCCCCTTCTGCAAATTCCTCGAATGAAGTCCTTACACATGATTTTTTTTGATTTTTCTGTATTAATCTTGATTGAATATTTTTTGGTATAACCATTTTTTGTTTTTTCAATCGAGTTTAACTCATATGGTCCAGTGTTGCCTTCAGTTTCGAGAGTACTGTTAATGGAATTACCTGGTGGAGGGGTGTACGGGATTAATCGTGGCTGTGCATTTGCCTTTTCATTATTACTATTTTCATTCGAGGGAAGCTCATCATCGATGCATAATACATACGCTGTCTTAACTGCCTCATCAAACATTGATTGTAAATATTCCATCATGTGTATTGAATTTGGTGATAGCGTTTCTGAAGACATTTTCGAACCTGAATAAAAAAAAAATAAGCTCGTGAGAGTTCAACTTACATATCGAGGGTTCCATATATAATCGATTTCTTTTATATTTAATTATTATTATTATTTTGAATAAAAAAATATTTAAATATGTAGGACTAGGAATGTGATAAAATGACTGTATCTATTATCATTTTCCTGTATAAATGTATATATTTATTGCGTTTTTTTGTATCAAATAGACGCTTAACAATTAATATTTTATTACAATTCGGTAATCCGTATTTTGAGCCATAACTGTACTTAAAAATCAGATAGCATAACTATGTTTGTTTTTAAACGTTATTGATAATTACTCAAAAATATTATCATAAAATAATTACGACGATTAGTACGATTTGGAATGTACAAAAAACCCTTTACTATGATATCCTACTTAACCTGCGCTATCGGTATATGCAGGTAGCACCAGTGAAAGATGACAGGCGAAGACGAATACATTTCAGTAAGCCCGGCATGATGGAATTATCAAGAATGGACTTTATAGGCAATCAACCTGGCGACAAGCCACCTACTACCCTACACTTACTTTATTATTTTTTATTAGGGGATTAGTAGTCCCATTGCTAGCAATATACCGTATCAGGTCGACCTTCATGTGGTCCCCCCGAAAAACATGCTGAATTCCAACTGTATTCATCACGATGGGCTAATTAACCTGCCTTTTAATCCTCATCTAACATCCCTCACTGGTGGTCACCATTGGACTATCATCCATAAAAAAATATGAGAAATAAATCACGATGATTGCCAGAAGGGACCACACGAAGGTCGGCCTGATCTTACCATTATGTCCCACTAAACATCATCCAGCGTGCCACCAAAAAGATATATCATTTACATCACGCCGAAATAGGAGTGACTTTGTACTATAGCGGGTAGAAATTATTTTGTTAAATATTATCCACCTGTTCCATATATCCATATGTTACCACCTACCTTAGTTTCTTCTGATGATATCTCTCCAACGAAATAATTTTGAAATAATTCTCGAACTGATAACGATGTGATCACAACGTCTAACTGGGGTGGTGATGTAGTAAGGTTTGAAAGTAGTGCATGGTTGTCGATCTATAACCGTTTCGTTTAATAAAAATCGACATTTGAAAGGTAGATATTAAACTACCTTCAAATGTCAAAAATGATTCTAGATACTTTGATGATAAAACATTCTGTAAAAACTGTTGGCGAAGTGGAAAATTGCACGATATTTGTTGTCAATATTATTTTTTCAAATATTATGTATTAATATAAATCTCAAGACTGCCACTTTAGAGCGATTTAGAAATTAAAGTAATATCATGAATTATTTCTATCTATTGCTATTTGATCATGTATGGCGCTATTTGTCAGAATTATATAGCAATCGTCCTTCGTAATCGTAATACCATTTTTTTTTATTTAGCAATTACTAGCGAAGTGTTTTCACAGTATTTAAAAGGAATCACCTCCTCGGTATAACCGTACCGTGTTTTTTTTTCTTATGGATGATAATGGCATGGTATCTCCGCCTCCGCTATCGGTATACACTGGCGGGGCACCAGTAAGGGATGATAGGTGAGGATAAAGCAGGTCAGTTGGCCCACCGTGACAAATCTATCAATAAATCAATTACGAGTTTCCAGAGGGAACCACGAGGAGGTTAGCCTGACAGGGTATATTGCTAGCAATGGGGCTACTAATCCTCATTACTAACAATTCCTTCTCCTCCCACCGTACCGTGTAAGTAAGTGTAGGGTAGTAGGTGGCTTGTCGCCAGGTTTGTTGCCTATAAAGTAACAATGTGTAAAGATTGCACGTTTACTTTGTGATCGATTGGTAATTTTAAAAAGTAACATAATAACTTTCTGGATCACAGAATTAATATGTATATACTATAACTATTACTGATATTGTGCCATTGTGTGTGATATTGTGTGCATAAAATATACGGCGGCAAATTATTATTAAAAGAGAAGTATTTATTTTTCACCATAAAACTGGGAAATCCATCATGCTCCCCATTTAATTCCTAAATCATTCTGCAGAGGCAGCATCAACGTATATTATTATTTGCTTGCTAATTAAGCTTTAATTATTATATAATACAAATGATATTTAAAATTAAGATATTATCGTGCAATTTTCGCCTATCGCAGTTTGCATGATCGTAGTCAAGATGCTGAGCAGTTCATCTTTGTCCGTAAATTTTGTATGGAAGTTGGTAGTATGTTAGTATCATAGATATACACGACACGTCACAAACAAAAAACCATCCTATTCTTAAATTATATAGATACAGGTTGGCAACTTTTTACAAAGATTTCGGAATTTAATTAATAGACCATATCGTGTATAGCTCGTTGTATTCAGGCCTAAGAACAAGGAATTACTTAGAAGGAATGATAAAATAAAAACTGTAAATCATATGGTTGCTTACATTCTTCTTATGCAAATATAATTAGTAAAAAGAGGACGAAAGATATACCATCAGTTGCTATTGTTATCAATTCATAGCAGGCTAGTGTATAGAAAATATTATACAGCCGTATAATCCTACCAAATTCAGATACAACCTGCTTGCATACGTTTTACATAAACTGTGTGGAATATATAATCTAGTACATACAGATACTTTTCTTTATCGTGATATTGGTGTAAAATAACATTTTATCAATACGTATGTGTCTGGTAATGAATCAAAATGTTATAAATAAGGTAAAAATTACCTACCCTGATGGAGATGAGTTTTCTAAGACGCCTAATATCATTTCCAGTAAGTATATATATATATATATATATAATTTATTGCACTAGTTAATATATTTTTTTTTGATGGGTGAAAATGGTATGGTAACCCCGCCTGCGCTAACGGGATACGCTGGCGGAGCACCAGTGAAGGGTGATAGATGAGAATGAAAACAGGCCAGTTAGCCCATCATGATGAATTCATCAGGAATTAACCATGATAGTTTCCAGGGAGAACCGTGAGGAGGTCGACCTGGTTGGATATATTGCTAGCAATGGGATTTTCAGTCTCCATTACTAACAATCCCTTTCCCCCTAGTTAATATATTTATTGTTTATTTTACAAAAGATACATAAAAAAAAATAAAGTTTTTGCAACATATATTGATCAAAAGTCAATACAAAATCATTTTGGATATTCAAGTCACTTAATTTAATAATATCATAACAAGAAGACAATTGATCTACTGTTTTTTCCATTAAACCTTATGAAGCAGAGCCTAATGTCATTTAAGGACATTCTGAAAGCTTGTGATGTAAAAAGACATGTTTTGTTTGATGAAGTTTTTAAAGAAACTTCATTTACAAATATTGATATTCTAGTATTAAAATACCAAACCTTAATTTAGGAGTGTGAGTGTCACACCATGTCAGCTGTCATTTTGAAAATATTTTAAGGGTATAGTACATCACTGCAGCGGCCAGCAACTGAGGCATTGATGGACGAACGTACAAATGTGGGCCGAGGCATAGCCGAGGGACACATACGTGAGTCCATCAATGCCTAGTTGTGGCCAAGGCTTGTATAGTACTTTTCTCAAACAATGCGCGGAAATCAAAAACACAATTTTACTTTTTAAGTTCAATGACGAATAAGGAACAATAATAATTTTCACGCGCCATAATATTCCTTTGTTTTTTTTTTTCAATAAACAGCTTTCTATTTGCAAACCAGTTCGAAATTTAAATAAAACCTTGTATTAATTACCTTCTTGGTAGCCATATTTCAAAGTAAAAGGTCATTCCATTTTTAAATTACAGGACAGATATGAGCTTACATAGTAATTTATCTGGGCGCAAAACACGACAGATATGGATTTTCATACAACTTTTGCCGGCCGCTGCCCGCATGTATTTTGGCCAGTACGGCAATTTTGATTTATCTCGAAGAAGATTGTCAAAATAATACATTTCCAAGCATGTTTGAGAAAAATACAATTATAGCCTAATAGTATATTTCCTATTTATTTACTACAGTTGTTCCATGGTTGTGTAGCAGATATTGAATTTTGAATTTCTATTTCAAAATTGGGACTTTATGTGAAGAAAATGTAATGAACTTGACTAGAGTTTATTAATTATTTTGAAATCTAAGTATTTATATTGTATTATATGAATTTATACAAATTGTGAAAATGATATACTTAGAGAATTCATGTATAAAATAGGTAAGTTTTACTATAAACATGAAACTTTAATATTTCAGATGTGTTCTGCACTGGAGGAACTATGATAATCCACAAGCACTGCAGTGTGCTGGACTTCAGCAGCAATCTTTGAACTTTTTAAGTAGTAATGTTAAGTAATGTCTATAAATGCCAATTGTAGTCATTTTACTCAATGACACAAATGTCTCTAAATCGCTCACATCTCACATCATGTAATGTAATATAAATAGGACTCTATTTTCCACGCTTAGCCTCTAATCTAATTCATCAAGTTATAGATGCGTTAAACAATATAAATATTGTCCAGAAATATATAAGATTTCCACAAAATTCTCAAGCAAGGCAAGCTTTAAAAGAAAGATAGTAAGAAAGAAACATAACAATCCCTAAGTGCATAACAAAAAGTATATTTTGTTAAGAAATTTTTAAATAGTTTATGATTTTTTATGTATATGAATTATATATTGGTATTATTTTCAGTTTCTATGAAAAATTTAAGTTGGTGTGTTGGGCTGTATTGATGGTACACTTGTATCAATGGTTCGGCCGCATCAACATGAAGAACGTTATTGTTGCCGAAAAGGCTATCATGCAAGAAATTGTAAGTTATTGGCAATTATATTCGGAATATTTTTTTATATTAATATTTGTTCTACTATATATGTAAGTGCATTTCTTTATCCAGATAAATGATGCTGTTCTAAATATTTTACATGTAGATATGACATTTGGAGGAGCAACCCACGACAGTTTTGCTTTTACAAATAGTATAATTAAAGATCATCTAGAAAAACTTCATAATAATGGGGAAGTAGTATACCTGCTCGGTAAGGTTCCAATCTTTGAACTACTTTGTGGAATATTATATATTACAAATAATGACTATTCCTTATTTTTTTCAGGTGATTCTGGATATGCTCAGAGGCCCTACCTTATGACCCCTTTTAATAACCCAAACCCACCTGAACGCCTGAAGAACACTACAACACTATGCATAGCACTGCTCGAAACAGCGTGGAAAAACAATAAGCATACTAAAAGGGAGATTTAAATGCTTATTAGTTCATAGAGTGTTACATTATGACCCCACAACAATTTTAAAAATAGTAGTAGCTTGTTGTGCCCTACACAACATTTGTAACGGTGCAAGATTATCTTCTCCAACTTTAGCCTCCACAGACTTAGAACAGGAAAAAAGAATACTTGGCACATTGAGACAAGCTCAGTTGTCTCAAGACAATGTTGCCACTAGGCGCTTATGTAGAGCACAAGTAGTGCGTCAATTATGGTGTGCTCGTCATATGTAACAAAGTTTTTTTATGCATAATGACACCACTGGTATTGTAGATCGTTATAAACTATGGTAACCATTTCCTATTAGGTGCACCTGATGCACCTGATGACTATTGATGTATAAAAATAATGAAGTGTTAAAATATTATAAACTACTCAATTTGACTCAATTACCCATGCAATAAATTACTTATTCATGTCAATTTAATGTTGTTAAATTAATCTAATACAGTTCAGGCTAACTGAAACAATAATCTCTTTCACAATCATGATTGTAAAACTTAAGACCCTTATGATACGAGTATCTCCTTATATTAGTATGAAAATAAATACCTATTAGAAATGCATAACATTTTACACATGCTTACTTATGTACTATAAAAGGAGGTAAAAACAAACCTTAGACCATTGCTGCCATGTTTTTAAACAGCCACGGCCGTCGCTGTTTAGTAAATGCAAGCTCACAGCAATGTCTCCCCAAGCGACTTTAGTACGGTACCTGGCATTGGCTGTTCGTGCATGCTCTGTCGCAAGCCATCGCTGCTCCTCCATGCATTCCACCAGCATATCCAACTGCTCTTGAGAAGGAACCGCACTTCTTGACATGCTACAAAATAGTTATTTATTTTAGTTATTAGAAATATAATAGAACTCTATTTAAATGATCACACAAATAATTAGAAAGTACTTAAGTAGTAAGTAAATTACTTACCTATTTGATAGATAGATCCAAAGTTATGAATTGTTTAACTTTATTAATTAATTTAAAAAAGGAATTATCTTAGTGTAGAAAGTAAACAAAACAAATACAAATAACGCGCGCCTGGAATGTTAAGTGTTTGGCGTGGCGTGACATCTTAGTATTTTTTACGGCCATGGAAACAAGCTTATTCAAATTCAAGTTAAATTTAAAAGACAAAATTAAATGTTTAATGAATAAATTTATATTTATTTTGCTAAATGTTTATTCAGACAACATTATTAACTCAATGAAACATTTTCTTTACTAATAAAATACTATATTTATTTAATTACCGGTTTCAATTTACGGTTTTTGTTGCATGCCCTATCTCGTCCGTGCGTGCAGCCTCGAGTTATCACAGCCTACAGTTCGTCGATGAGGTTTGACACGTTAGTGAATATCAATTACCGCAGCGTTGTAGCCACGGTCGTTCGCAAGGCTGATCAGCCTAAAGCTCGTCGGCGGGCGCAGCGTTGCGATAAATTTTTAGTGACTAACAGCTAGGATCTTCCCAGGCCTCACGGAGCGACCTTACCGTTCCGAGGATTTCTAAACGTTGATGGGCCACAGCTTTACATTCCAGGATTACGTGGGCAGCCGTTTCTTCGGCATCGAAACAGCCTCGCCATAGAGGGCTATGGCTCCTATTGTGTATAAATATTTGTTTAATGGACAATGGCCCGTTATTGTCCCTATCATTATTTTGAGGTTTTTCCTATCTAGATGCAATAAACGTTTTGATAGTCGTTGAGTCAACGTAGGCACGGCCAATTTTGGCTGTCTGCAATCAGTAGCCTGTATCCATCTTTGGTTTTGTATCCATCCTCATCCAATGTATGTATAATTATTATTGAAATAAAAATTTATTTATATTTTCCATTGTTTTTATTGTTAGAAACTTAGATTATAAAGTATTTAGATTGACAATGTATGAAACAAAAAATATATTAATCTGTATGTTAGAGCAAGGGAGACAATTGGATAAGAATTTGCACAACATAACTCAAAGTTGTTTTGGCAGGAGTGTGAATAAAATAATTTCTAATTTATATGACTATTGATTATACGTTTGCCGGGTCAGCTAGTATATATATATAAAAACAAAGTCACTGTCGCTGTTTGTCCGTCCCTATATATGCTTAAATCTTTAAAACTATGCAACGGATTTTGAAGCGATCCAAGAGGAAGGTTTATATGTATAATACATGACATACTGACAAATTTAGAGGTTTCTAATGTGATGTCGTAAATAAACACATGTTTTACGCTTACATTAGCTCAGCATATTGAATATTATTCTACATATTAGATACTGCAATATACCCATAAAACATAAGAGCAAGCACTTTTCGTAAATATACACCAGACAGTTGTTCTTATTTTCTTGTGTTTTAGTGTATACTGCCTGTGTTGGACACACAGGCAGTATACACTATTTATAAATTGCTAGTAAGTTCTCTACATCTACTCATTTACATATAAAATTGCAATTTGGTATGTAAAGTGCTACTTTAGCTATTTATCATAGTGTCACTGAAACTCAAATTTCCATTAAAACCATAACATTAGTCAGTTCTAAACTGTCAGAAATTAATAATAGTAAAAATAAAACATCAACGACTAATTATTTCATCAATATGTTATACATATTTACATAACCATTATGCCAAATGCTCCGTTTTAAACTGATCTCTTTCACTTCCTCCACAGTCATCAAGCTATTCATACAAGAGCGGTGGTAACAAGTACTTTTAATTCGCCTCTTCATCAGCCTATTTGGTTGACATATTTCAGCCTAAGGCGACCACTAACGACTTCTCTATTCATGCTCGATCTCTTTTATAATTCATTTCATTAATATAATTCTTTCATCCGTCCTCTCTAAATAACCAAACCAACACAACCATCAATCAATATATTATATATTTTATATAAAAGATAATATCGACTACCCTGTACGTAATAGAAGCATCGCTGGGGATTTATCACAGAATACTACTCAAATAAAATTATTACACAAATAGTAATGCACTTACAGGAACATTAAACCATTCTATTCTAATCTAAAAATTACAGTAACCACCAATATCACTTTGGCTTCATGTACACGCACGTATCTCGGATTCTACCCGACTGATTGAACACAAATAAAATTAAAATACAATGTATTTAGGTGTGTATTTGTAAATAACAAATATGTATTTGTTATGCAAAACTCAGGTATATACGATACAAAATCGCGTGAAAGCGATAATATTCTTACGACTTGAGTGAATATAGTAATCACACTAAATATAGAGTATATGTGATTTATTTCTCGTCATGCAACTTTTTCATCCGTCCATGCGTCTGTCACAACGTTACATAGAAATAATCCAAAAAGATATTACATTATAATACATCCTATGTTATTTTAAAACCAATCAGAAAACATGGAATAGTTGCGAGCTACGTACATAAGGGGGTACGTAGCTCGCGACACGATAATCATAAATAATTAATAAAATAATTACAGTTTATAAAGCTATCTGTAAATATTACGGATAAAGGAAAACGACGTTTCTGACTAAATTTTTTTAAGAAATAAACTCAGTTATGCAGTTTAATTTTAAACCATATTATAGCTCAAAGAAATTCTTAATTACGATAGTAATTGTTAGCAGTTTATTTCATATAAGAAACAATACGGCTGCGTACATTTAAATAATAATCTCAGACTCTCATGTACGTGTATGTATGTAATGATATGTATACATCTATAAACACATATACAGTATACGTATCACTCAAATATATTTTTATCTAAAAAAATTATATACATATAATATAATATGAATATATAATATAAATATAATAGGAACTCTCAACGAGTGAGTTGAATTAAAGTTTTATTTATCGTATTCCCAAAAAACCGATAACCAAAATTATATTTGAATGAACTGAACGATTTTTTTCATACATCTCTTTGTAAACAATGACAGTCATCATTCATAGATATTTTTCCATCTGACAAACAACCTCAATCTCAATCCTCAATTTACGTCTAACATTTAAATAGTTTAAATTAAATTAACATTTTTAAAAAGCATCTCCTACACACTATTTCAGTTATTATACATTTAACGAGGTAGATAATAGTGAATATTGTCTTTCATTTCTAAATATCAGATCAGTCCATAAATTCGTGCGCATTTTTTGGTAAATTTTTAAATCATATAAAAATACACACACACATTTTAACATTTTAATCAATTATACGAGAGCTGCCTTTCAAATTGTATTGTTTGAAATATCTCTATTTCACGGTATGTCATTTAGGATCTTCGAGGATTAACTGCCGCACGGCTTCGACATTCTCTTGCGACATGGCGGTTTTTGGATGACTTTCACGTAGCTTGTTACTGAGATTAGAGTGTCCACGTTAAAATTCTAAATACCAGCGATCTACAGTCCTAAGACATGGTCCTGCATCATTAAACACAGAAGTGATCTCCTCAAAGCACTGAAGTCGCGATAATCCCCTTTGAAAGTTGTAGAAAATTATGGCATGCAAATTTTCCTTAGATATTTTCATTTTTACAACCGACAAAGGTGACACCTTTGAATAGACGATACAATAAAACAATTCGACCAATCTGAAAACATTATTTTCTTTTCGAAATCTAAATTTAAAAATATGAAAATGCCATATTTTTTTTTTTATAATCGTGGGAGGTTGGCAAACGTCACGACTTAAAAGGCAGCCCTTGTAAACGGGTGATTATTATTAAATAAGAATTATTAATTCTTATTTATTATATAAATTAATTAAGCCTTCATTAATGAATAACATTAGTAAATAAACATTTTAAATTACAAAATGAAAGCTGTCAAGTAGCTTCTTAATCTAATCTTAACCATTAATAGATTTATTTTTAAAATCAGTCTTTTTTGCTAAAAATACAAAATGTCTATTACTTGTCATAATAGACAAATTTAAACAACAGTCGCAAAGCAAACGCTCAGCACAATGTCATATATCAAAAGATAGAAACATTGTATAGTATGTATAAAAATAATGCTTACAAATATTTTTATTATCACACCTGTGTACATTCAGGCACTCGTATCACTATTGCTGTAGGTGTCCGGACCCGATAGCATGACTTTTAATACTGCGGTGAGCCAATTCTTCTTTTTTGATAACTTAGCTATATTCTCATCTAGCGCCTTTGTGGATTTTAGTAAAGCATCCCTTTTCGCCAGTTGTTGCTGATACCTGAAAAATAACAGCGCCAACAAATACTTCATAATTTGCATTATCACATCAATGTACATTCAAGTAACAAATTAGTCAAATACAAATACAAGACAGTACTATATTTTTAACATATATTATGAAGTCATTAACATATGTTATGAAGTTTTAGGGCAAATTGGCTGCGACACACGGACGGGCAAACAGGCACGAGAGTAATCCAATAAAGATTGCGTTTTTTCCTTCTTAAGTATAGAACCTTAAGTATTGTTCTTATATTGAAAATATTTTGCTAATTTATTATTAAATTATTCTTATTATTTAATGTTTAGTTATAAAGCTGAAAATTAAATCATAGAAATCGAATTTGATAATAAAATTAACTAAACTATGTACTATTTCAATAGAATTTAATAAAAATATAATTAAGAATTGTTTAAATAATCACAGAAACTTTTAGTAACAAATCGAAACATCAAATAAATTAATCGATTTTTCATTTGTACTACTATCTGACAATAGCCTGTCTTATGCTCGGGTCGTTTATTCGTTTATGTACATTTCCATTAAATTTTATTGAAGCGAACCATATAATTAAAAACTGAATAATTTAAAAGTACCTTATTTTATAAACTTCACAACCGAGACATTCCTCTGGTGTAGGTTCATTATCAAACACTACGGTAGAAGGCACTGAAATTAAATGAACAATTTATACTCGTCAAGCTATGTTATTAAAGATGCTACTAATAATAAATATACTATAAAAGATATGAATAAATTTTAGTTTCTTTTTAAGATACTTAAAATAGAAAACACTGACTAATCCAAGTAATAGAAAGTGGTAACTATCGTCTATAAATATGATGCCATTGGTACCTGTAAAGAGTTGCCATTGTTGAGGATTACAGTACGTTATGTCTGCGCACCCTGTATTGTCATTGCCATAGGGTGGGAATCCTTCACATAGAAACATAGCCATGTGAGCATACCTGCTTCATAGTAAAGACGTGGCAAGAACAGAGGAATACATGCAAGTGACTTTTAAGTATGCTATACTTGCTAATCCTTATTAATATTATAAATGTAAAAGTGAGTCCGTTTCTTCATTTGTTACCTGTTCGCAACTTTACGGCTTAACCAATTACTATAAAATTTGGTATACACATACTACATACTAAATAAATATGAAAGAGTTTATTTATTACAGCTTGGAGAGTGAATGGCTCAACCAATTTTTATTAAATTTGGCACCCACATTGTAGTTAAGATGGAGAATGATATACTCATAGCCTACGTTATATTCTAGTGACGCAAGCAAAATCGTGATTAAAAACTAGTATCGAAATTTATTTTTTACAATCCACAAGGTCAAATGATGGATTTAGTATCGATACAATAAAACAACACTAAGAAATAATGAAAATTTGCTTACAAAATTTATAAATATATAAACTAAGTCCTTCTTTTGGAAGTAGTTTATAAATAAATGACCATTGCGTATTTTAGGTAGTGTTTAAGTAATCAGATATAACAGTTTACTATATTGCCCATGAATGCAGCCGGGATGGCAGATTGTTGGTACAAACGTAAGCACAAAATACCCATCTCAAAACCAAACTAACAATACGATATGCAATACTCAATATTATAATATACTCTAACCGACTATATTTACTTAACACGTCAATATCCTTGTTTTTTTATCTCGCTCTGACATATATGTTATTATGTTTTCTCTCTTTTACATTGCCCATCCACATATGTACTTTAAAATCTAAGTTTAAAATGTCTATAGCTACAAGACGATTTTAAAAAATATATAAAAGCTTATTTTTACAAATGTTTTAAAGAAACTTATTAAGAATAAGTACAGCATTGGTACATCTTAAGTTGCAGTCAGGTACAAAAAAAAGTAGCCCATACCCATAGCCATAAACTAACAGGGAAATAAACCGCAAAAAATTCAGGGTCTCACTACACAGGTACACTGATTTCCCTACTTTTGTTAGCTTGCTTTATGTCTTAACAATATACACGAGCATTTTGTGATCGGTTTTCAATAAATGCTTGTAAAAGGGCTTAAGGCTGCTTACCTTCTACCAGAACGCAGCTTTAGAGATGATTTAGACGTAGTTAACATTAACATAAAGATAGTATAAGATAAAAGAATATAAACACCTACCGCTTTCTGAACATTCCCGGCTCAGTTCAGAAATGGAAGATGACGGTGTGCTTGATGACTGGTACTCATCCTGAGGATGTTTTCCATTCACACTTGATTGCGGAATGTTCAATAAAGGTACTGGAGGAATGGCCCCACTGAAATGGCAAAGAAAAATAACAATTCATGATATTAATAATATAAGTTGCTAGTATATTATATATGAATTTTAAGTTCATATACATATATACTAGCAACCCAACCCAGACTCGGAAGATTAATATGAGAATCTCAAAATTTTATGATGTTTCGACCCATGTTTCTTTGTTAAAAATATTCAGATTTACTGGTAAAACCATCCTTAAAATTGTATGTGATTAAATACCCATATTATAGGATGTTATTATATTTTTATTTATTAGGAGAGCGGGGAAGGGGGTTAATAACATATATTTCGAATTTTATATACCTCGTATGTAAGTCTGGAGGTGAGTTGGCATATACAGGCTGTACAGTTTCACGCGGTGGGCCTGTAAATAAAATGTATTAATACTCAAAAAACTAAATATAGTAATTTTAGTCATAATTAATTAGCAACTATTTGAATTAAAATTATAATTAACAGAAAACAAATTATGGTAAATGTTTTAAAATTCAAGTTGCTTCATAATAATAAAATTTTACATTATCAAACAGAAAAGACATTTTAAAATAAATAGAAAAAGTTTCTCTGCATGTATTTAAAAAGAAAAAGCAGTTACAAATTCAGAAATAACCATGATAGGAATTTTAAGGCTAATAACATTGTTATATATAGTTTTAATATTAAACAATCCATTTTAATGTTTATTGTTTAAATGAAAGGGTTTACATTCACAATTCTCTTCAACAAACTGTAAACAAAGTAGATAAAAAAGTCTTACCTCCTGGAATACATTGTGGTCGCACTATATTTATATCTTTTAAGTGGCTCAATGTATGAGGTGGCAAAATACCAGTCCTAAAAAAGTTTTCTTTCTCAAATGTGGTAGCATGTACGAAAACACATAGGAGTCTTTTGCATTTTCCATTTGCAAAGTCGCGACAAAACTTGTAGACGCCATTGAGTTGATCTAAATCTAATTCGTGAGCATAAATACAAGCTTCTCCCCTTTTACAACATCCTCTTACGAAGTCTTTACACATAATTTTCTTTCGTTTATTTGGTTTTAACTCCATTGAATATTCTTTCATATGCCCATTTTCTGTTTTTTCCTCCGAATTTAACTCATATGAGTCATCCTCGACTTCAGTTTTGAAAGTAAAGTTAGTGGGACTGTCTGGTGGTGGGGAATATGGTGGTAACGGTGGCTGTATGTTTGCCTTATTGCCATTTTCTGTAGTTTTATTAGAAGAAGACTCAGCAGTGCCATTTGATGCAGATGCTATCTTATCCTCCTCAAACTTTGACTTTAAATACTTCTTCATGTGTTTAAAATTTGGTGATGGCTTAAATTTTATATACTTAGCATCTCCTGATGACTTTTCCGAACCTGAATTAAAATAAAACCAGATGAATTATGAATTAAACTCAGATGCCAAGGATAACATATATACATATCATGGAGTCAATAAATGAACAGTTAAGTGACTTTCTCAGGTCTTTATTGTAACTAGGGGCTATTTAATTTTTTTTTCTTATCAGATGTAATCGAGAATTGACTCCTATTAATTTAAATTTAACAGGTTGGCGTAGTTTTCTAAAAAAAAAATTCATAAATGTGCCAATGCATGAAAAAATGACTTTTAATATATTCGAGATTAAAATCATGGAATAAACTATCAGCGGTATAGTTATTCATGTATAAATTAAAGTTTGGTTGAATCCACCCTAAGACAACTGTTCTTTTAAATCTGCCTATTTGAGGAACTGGATAAATGAAAAACATCTTAAAGTGATAAAAAATACTAGGGCCTTTGAGATCCCAAGTTATATAGATTTTATTGTACATTTAGAAAGTGGCTTCACAAACTTCAAAGAAAATGCTCTATTTTTTATATTTTCGACTAGATGTTGCCCGCAACTTTGTCCGCGTTTCCATTGTTTTTCGTAAAATAAGTAGTCTATGTCTTTCAGTGGTTTTAATGTAACAGACACATTTTCCTTCACTGCTCTGCTCCGATCGTAGCATGATGAAAAGTATTGTATAACTTGCCCAGTAGTATGAAGAATAATTGTACCAAATTTCGTTAAAATCTGTCCAGTAGTTTTTGTTTCTATAACGAACAAACAGGCAGACAGACATTTAAAACAAAAATTTTACTGAGTACATTTTTGGCATCAGTATTAATCACTAATCACCCCTTATAGTTATTTTGGAAATATATTTCATGTATAGAATTGACCTCTCTACTACTCTCTAGATTTATTATAAGTATAGATAAGTAAAAAGCTACTGTCATAATAATAATTAAAATATGATTTTATTGTACAAAAAATCCCTTTAATGACATGTCACTTGATATGTGGTCCCGGCATAGAATAGGCCCCACTTCCTTTACCGTGTGCGTCGTAAGAGGTGACTGAGAGAACTACATGCCTGAGGAATGTAAGCAGCAGTGTATATCAACCATATCAACCATTAATTGTTTATTATTGAACATAAGCCCCACCCTATTGGCCCTTACAAGGCTATTAGCTACAATTATTATTGTTAAAACTTGTATCATAGCAATGCAATTGAAATATTGAATTAATTGTATCGATTAGAAGGAAGTTGTAACTCAGGTCTACAACCCAAATTTTGGGTTGATAGAAGACACTCTACTTAAACACTTAAAAACTAATAAATACAACAAAATCTCAAACTTTCTAATCTGTCCACAAATTAACACTAAAATAAGTTAGTTTTTTTTATGATAAACATAGTTGTTTGCTAACAAACAAGAGACCAGATTATAATTTACTCTTTCCAAGCTACTAACATAAGTTTTATAGAAGTTTGCCATGCTTTAAAACATATGATAGCAAAGAACATACATATTATAAATTCTGCATTAAAAAGTTATAGAAAGTGAAAAAAAATTTCGTGTGTGTTGTATAATTACAATCAATTCAAAATACAATTTCGATCAGCATTTGTACAGAACAAAATTTTATACATAAGGTTTTAAACTTAACCTCCTGCGGCCCGGTTTCAAAGTGGGTACATCCAAGGAAGACCCAGTGTCCTAATACTAGAACAAATTAATTAAGTCCTAAACGCCCAGATCAAAAATTGTTCATATCTTGGTAACCACAACAGATAAAGATGTAATATTTTAGGGATACTTTAATATTGATTTAGGCTTGCCCGACAGAAAAGAAAGACTCCAAAATATTTTGTTCTATATTTATCACATTGGGATGCTACATATAACCTGAAGTCCCATAGAAAATGGAAATTTAAACACCTGATATAATATAATAATTCAATTCCCAATAAGTACATCCTTATTACTGGGTATCCAATACATGCCATAATCAAAAACAAGCCTATGAAAACTTTTAACTCACCATTTGTTATTAGCAGACTCTTTCCTGTTTTATAAACGGCTGTTTGATTCGTTTTATCTACGATCATATCTATTAGCTCATCATCAAAGTATTGAGCAAAATAGTCTAATTTTGAAAAATTTGTTCTGTCTTGTATCGAGTACGATGGCTCAGAAAGCATAGGAAGGTTTTTTGTGAAATTCTTTACAGCCCATGTAAACTGATTATCTGAACTGCTGCCACCATGAGCACTAGTAAATTGCGGAGTGCGATCACATTTTCTGCTGTAATGTGCATGACTACAGGCTCGCATGCGCGATCGATCTCGTCCTCGACTACTTTTCAGAATTGGTGGGGGGCTCTTAGACTCTGATTCTGAGCTAGTACTGGTTTTACTTGCATTATTCCTATCTGGAACGTACTCATTACCAGTATCCTCTCCTGTAAAAGGATCTCCCTCGTCGTCTTCGAAATCTGATTGATGTAGTATCTCTAATATTTGACTATCTGTGAAAGGGAAAACTGTGACAGCACAATGGCGTAGACTAACTAGAAGGAAGATAATTAAAGGTATAAATACCCGGCGTACTAGTATTAACATGAAATAAACTCACTAAAAAACCATATAAACGCTTATTGTGCTAGTATTAGTACAAAAAAATAATCACCAAAAAAGCATATTGATATTGACAAAATTACGATAAAATAATAGTGTTTATATAAACTGCATCCCTTTGTCCCGATAAAAAAACAAAATGTCGTAAATATAACACAAAGATTTAAAAGATATAAATGAATCAAACAAACCTTTTATCGTTGTACGTGCCACCGCTTCGACTTAGAATGATAGAAGAACGAAAAAAATTTCCCTGTCCATTGAAAGCAGTGCACTGCCACAATGCCAAATATATTTACAAACTAAACGACATTGAATACACAACGTGGCACGTAATTCAAACGCGGCAGATGACGGAAAATATTTTGTTCTAGTATTAGTACAGTGGGTGTTGACTCCAAATTGCTATTTTAAAAATTGGGCGTTTACATTAATGTGATTTTGTTCTAGTATTAGGACTTCTGACCTCAGGAGGTTAAGTATTTATAGATAGCCCAACGCAAGTAATACACATACTATTAAATATTCCTAGCATAAAAATAAAAGTCTACAAAAACAAAAAAGTATATTAAAAATATACATACTTGTTTCCTTTGACATGTTATTAATTTTTACTCAAAGCACTATTCAAAAGTCTTCTTGTAACTCGGAATTAAGTCTGATAAATAAAACATTGTAGATATATAAATGATCGTCATAGCAAACGTAAGTGACCATTTCATGAAAGCGTCAAAGAGTTTTTTTTTTTTTTTTTTCATTTATTGTGACTTTGGCGAAAGCCATCAGCCAAAAAGTAACAATTACAAGGTAACAATATAAAATTACAAGATAAATTACAAAAATTATTATAGTTATAAATTAATTATAATATATTAAGAAAGTAAGTTAAGTAGAAAAGTATAAGTTACAATTACATATTTAAATTTCACCAATTGTTGAAGTAATATAATTAAAAATTTCTTGGTACAAAATGGTATGTTTTAGTAGATCCTGCACTGAAGTAGGAATATTTTGACATTTTAATAAATCTTGACATTGACAAATAAAAAGTAAACGTTGAAGTGAGAATTTAGGACAAACAAAAAAAATATGATCCAAGTCAGAAAAAATGTTTTGGCAGTAGAGATGGGCAATCCACCTGGGTGGGTTTAAAGTCTGGTGGGTAAAAACCGGGTGTTTTGGGTTTATTGGGTTTAAACCCCATAAACACCCAAATTTTTGGGTGTTTATGATTTTGTACTTCATCATCGTCATCTCAGCCGCAAGACGTCCACTATACTGGACATAGACAATATTATTATGCAGCCTACAGAATAAAAAACTTTTAATTTGATTTTGAGTTTATTAAGAAAGAGATGAAAGTAAAATGTAAAACTACAGTCAATCACTGTCAGATTCAGAGTTATTACAAGCGATGAATTGTATAGGTTCGATAGGCTCTATTTCGTCTAAACTGTTATGTTCATTTACTTGCTCAATGAAAGCTTCTAAGGTATTTTCTTCATTAAACTGAATGTCCTCGCATTCAGCTTTATGTTTAAGATTCCAGTTATAACAAATGAATGAAATTTTTTCAGTTCTTTCAGTTGTAAGTCGATTTCTTTTGTTATTATGTATGTAGCCTTGGATACTAAAGGAACGCTCAGTGGCTGCCGAAGTACAGGGAGCTGATAGAATACGAATCGCTACTTTGCTTAACTCAGTGGAACCACAAATACCTTTCCACCATATTAGGGGCTCAATGCTATCTAATGAGCTCCATACAAATCCTCTGGCCCAAAAGTTTTCTTTAGCTTTATAACACGCCAAATCTGCCATTACATTTGACAAACTTAAGTGTTGGCTTAAATTGTAGATAAACTCCATACCCTTAAGTTCTTCCTCTTGAGTAAGTTCGACTCCTAGAGTCCTGGGGTCTATTATTGGCCTCATTGCCATATTGCATCTTGAAGATACTGATGTTAGAATCTGCTGTTTGCTTTCTTCGCTCAATGTCGAAATCTCATTTAATGCAAAACGTATCTTAGCTTGTACATCTCTAAATGTAATGTATGTGCGATGCAAACGATTCTGGTCGCTCTCTAAGTAAAATATGCTTTCAGTGACTGGTTCCAAAATACTTATACATTCCCCTGTCTTCGTCCAGAAATCATCACTTAGAATTAAATCTTTAATATCTCTTGAAATTACCACATCTTCTCTAACTGTTAATATTTGCAAAGCTATCTTATTTGCTTTCAAACTTTTTAACGAAGTAACATGACTTCCCCATCTTGTAGCACAAGGCAATTTTAGTGTTTGTGTAGAATCTTCACTCTGCCTTGATTTTATCAACAAGGAACTTAATCGTTGACTCCTTTTAACAGTTTTTATTATATTTATGGCTTGCATAATAAACACAGTTACTTCTTGTATCTTTACAATATCTTGGCACAACAAGTTAAGGATATGTGCACAGCAACCGAGAGGAACAACATGTAGATATTTGAGTTTTGTTAATTCGAATGCCTTTTGTATATTTCTAGCGTTATCGCCAATAAGTACAAGAAACTTATTTGCTCCATACACTTTCATTACTTTTTCAACTTCTTGGCTAAGGTATTCACTAGTGTGAGGATTACTTTCTGTATTCAAACTTTTAACGTATGCAGGTTGAGGTTTTGATATAAGAAAGTTTATTATTCCTTCATTTCTTAAATTAGACCAGCCATCGCACTGAAGGTGTAAGTAACTACAAGCATTTAGTTCCTCATTTAACTCAAAACGCATTTCTCTATATATTTTATCTAAGTATTTTGTCGCTAAAGCTTTACGTGAAGGTATTTTAAATTTTGGTTGCAATTTTTCGAAAAATTGTATCCATAAAGGATGTTGCACCATCGATAATGGCGTCCCTGTTACAAATATAGCTCTCGCTAATTCTGTTTTTATATGATCATCGGTGTCTTGAAACTCAGCATTTATTGTAGTGTTAGCAGACGACGAGGGGCTTATAAAAGAATCATTTGTCTCTATCTCTGACAGTCCAGACATTTTGGTTTTGGACGAGCTATCTTTTATAAGTTTCATAGAGTCTTTTAATGTTTCTGGAGATTTTGGACAAGTGATAAGATGTTGAAGCATTTTGGCAGCATTACTGAATTTGTAGACCTTATTACAAAGCTTGCAAGAAACAGACTTGTTTGGTAAAGTACGGTAGTGCTCCCATATGCGTAAATCTTTAGGTCTCCCCATTGAACCTAAAAAAATGAACGATGATTAGTTGGTCTGACGAAAATTCAACAATAGAGTGCCTATTTTTTTACAATGATTATTTCTTGTTATTTACAATAAATTTATTAAAAAAATAATAAAATAAATACAAAAAACCTTTGTAAAATTACATCTCCTCGGAGGATTAAACGCAGACGCTAGTTTATTATCGTATTGTTCTGTATTTTTCTCAGCAACTTCTTTAATTCGATTAGGTACTTACGCATATTATGTTAAAAATAAATATCTAGTACACATCTTAGGCTATCCACCATTATTATCCAATGACGACTCTCAGCTAACTATGCACTATCATCCAAAATAAACGTGTATGGAAAATTTTATCCCAGTCGGTTGAGGATTGAGGATAATTGCATCAACAAACGAACATACCTACATACTTTTATTTACATAACGCAAGCTAAATAAAAGCTTGTAATAATACATCTAATTTTAAGTTAAAATTGTTAAGTGATCATGATATAATTGTATCATTCAAAAATCCACTTACCTTTAATTATTTCTTGTTAAGTATAAATATTATTTCAAATCTGCTCCCTTAATATGCACTTTTTTACTGCTTTTCCTACCTAACACGTTACCAGGAAGTCACGTTACCAGAGTCAGAGTAATAGTGAACACGTTTGACAGTGATTGTCGTCGCCTCATATTCAGCGTCGACGAATAGGGGAATCCCCAGTCATAATGTATTGCATGCGTGGCGGTCTTACTTCAAATCCATAAACAAAGAGATAATTACAGAACTCGATACTAGATGGCGCTGTTTTTGTTTGAAGAAAGTTTGCGGGCTAAAATACATAGAATTTCATCAATGACTTCCACAAAGAACAACATTTCTGTTTTTTCTAAGTCCGTATCTCTTCCGTATATTTCATAAGATATAAGCTTGGGCTACATTGTTATGCAACGTGATTTTGTCGCTGTCTTGCTAGCAGGGTTGACAGATATACGATTTAAATCGTACTCATACTATTATTTGTCTATTTTTTAATGTACGATCGTAAAGATTATGATCGTAATTCGCACAAAAACATACGACTTTTTGGTTACCTGGCAACATTTTTATTATGAAACGAACATGCTCACATCATCAGTCACATGCAACAATTTATTGGGGATTTCCCCTTCACATCTGGCAGTCCTGCTTGCTAGAATATAGGTAAGTCAGCCACAGTTACTGACGATCGATATTTAAAGGGTATTGTTTTTGTGCTAAATATTTCATAAAAACGTTATTTAATACTTTGTGGATTATTAATTTAGTTGATAATCACTGGAAGTAAAATGGATGCTAATTTGAGAGATCAAGATCTTCGTATAAAACAGTTAATAAAAGAAAATCTACGTAAGTACTCTTTTTATACCTAGGTAGGTAAGGTATAATAAACACAAAAGGTACTTAGATCGCGTGTGTTCGAAGCATTTATTCTAATAAATTTAATTTAAAATTGTAGAAAGAAAAAAATGTCTGCCAAGCCGTAGCCGAAGCCGATCTCCAAATATATTTGGCGATAGTGAGACCCAGTGTCCAGATGATTTACCCAGCGTCGTCGCAACAAAGAAAAAAACGAGGATAAAGTAAAAGAAAATTTACTGAAAGAAGAAACAAACTGTTCTAAATGCTTAATTTATGGAGAAGAGGATAAAAGAAATGAGTATTTCGGACTGTTAGTGGCTCAAGAATTTAAATATATACGGCCATGTGTGCGAACGAGGTGTTATGAAGAAATTTTAAAGTATCTACGGGAAGCAAAAGGCCAACATGTTGATCAACTGCAACATGAAAACACTGAAAATTAATTACTTTCATTTTATTATATATAGATTTTTAAAATTTCCTGAAATATTATTAGTTAACGTTTTATTTAACATTGTAGAATTGATCAATACAATTTATAAAAATAATTTATTGGTATTACTTACATATTTTCAAAAAAATACGTAAAAACCTATTTTTTTGGGTGATTATGGGAGTTTATGGGTGTTTATTGGGTTTTTACCAAAGCACCGGGTTTAAACCCGGTGCTTTGCCCATCTGTAGTTTTTAGTGAAGTTATTACGAATATCGCCAATCAAACAACCTAAATTATCCATTGTACTTTTACCCTTTCGAAATCCAAATTGATTATAAGGAATTAAATTGTTACTCTCTACGAACCATTCCAATCTATTTTTTAAAATAGTTTCAAAAAGTTTTGAAAGACATGACGTAAGAGCTATAGGTCTGTAAGAATCAATGTCGTTAGGATCTTTGTATGGTTTTAAAATGGCAATTATGTTTTGTTCTTTCCAAGATTGCGGAATGCAATTTTTGGACCACAGTAAGTTAAAAATGTTTAATAAAATGCATTTGGCATTGACAGGAAGGTATTTTAAAACTGTGTAATAAATAGAATCTGGTCCCGGAGAGGTGTCTTTCTTACTATATAATGCTGTTTCAAATTCTTCAAAACAAAACGGCTCTAAAAGCCATTCAGCAGATTTATGGCCGCTACTTACAAAAAAGTTATGTAATTTAATTACATCAATATGATCATTCGATGAAGCCACTTTGTTTAAAAAGTTAGATGCGTTATTAGGGTTATTGAAAAAGTTAGGTTTGTTTGGAGCCGAATTCAAAAAAGAATGTTTAAATTTTCTAATATGATCCCATAAAACTTTACATGAAGTCATTCGATTGAAAGATGAACAAAGATTATACCAACTTTGTCGTTTTTGTTCCAAAATAACTTTTTTCTTATTAGCATCGAATTTTTTATAAAGCAAATAATTTTCTAAAGAAGGATACTTTTTGTAAGACTCAAAGGCTAATTTAGACTTTTTGACTACCTCATCGCAAAGATCATTCCACCATACCGCTACCTTTATTTTTTTGTTATGGCTGCACTGGGAGTTCGATGACATTGACGTCTTTACTTTATTACATGAATTTGACAACAGTGAACTGTTTACTATTTGAATAAAATTGTCATAGTTTAATATGGGATCATCGCACATTAAAAAAGAAGAAAAACATCTATCACAATCGTTTCTAAATCCACACCAATCTAACTTTTTGAGATTAATAGAGGAAATAAGTGGTTGGGAAGTCACATTGGTGCAAGGGTTGTGCTCATCTTCATTGCGACTACTGTCGTTGTAATGTACGTTAAGCAGTAAAGGATAGTGATCGCTACTGAGGGGATCGTTATGAACTGAACAAATGCAACTGGAACTAAGTGATGATGAAGCTAAAACTAAATCTAGAACATTACCTTCTTGTCCAAAAGGGGCGATTGTAGTTGGACAGTGATTATTCATGCATACTAAATTAAGGTTCTCTATAAAAGAATAGATTTGATTACCCCTTCTATCATTTTTTCTACAACCCCAAGAAGTATGAAGAGTATTAAAGTCGCCTACAATTAAGAAGTGTTTAGATGTAATTTTCATATAAGTATCTAATAAATTATTGACAACAAAGTTCCCATTGGGAGGAGGGGGACAGTAGATACATAAAATGTCTACGGAGAGTGAACCAAGATTAACAGATATTAAAAGATTTTGAAAGTCATATGAAGAGTTTGTGTCAATAATTTTGTAATTATATTTGTTGAGAATAGCTACAGCTACTCCACCATGAGGACGATCAGAGTCTCTTCTAATAATATTGTAACCAGACAATTTACAGATTTTGTTAGAATCAAGCCAAGTTTCATTTAGTAAAATGATATCAAAATTTGATGTAAAGTTGTAAATAAAGTTTTTAAATTGAAATATTTTAGACAGAAAGCTTCTTGAGTTCCAATGAACAATATTAATTTCCTTTAAAGATGTAATGGTCATGTTGAAAAATTAGATATGAGTATTTCCTTAATTAATTTGGATGAAATTGTATCAGAATTAGTTTGAGCTTTCTTAACTAGCTCAATAACAGTCTTAGTAATTGTGTTGAGTACAATGTCTGAGTTAATGATGTCAGTAACTAATGCCCTTTTTTGAGGAGATTTATTTTGCATTGGGCTGTTAATAGACACAGGGGTATTCGAATTAATTACAGAGTTAACCGATTTTGAAGTCACTGATGCATAAGATGTTTTGCCTAGAATTTTATCTTTGATTTGAGAAAATTTCATCGATTTAGTGGGACAGCTATTAGATACTGCTACATGTTGTCCATTACAATTAACACATTTAGGGTTCTCTTTGTTGATACAGGATCTATAATCATGGGCACCAGCACATATGGAACAAACTTGCTTACTTCTGCAGGAACTGCTTCCGTGACCAAATTTGTAACAAGTGAAGCATTGGAGTAGAGGTCTAATGAATTCATGCACATCCAGCCAAATATGGTCATACGTTACGTGATCAGGTCGCTGCGTAGAGAGGAAAGTTACTAAAACTGTAGGAAGAGGATGAAAACTTCCATCTTCTTTCTTTTTTTTGAAACGTTTAACACCAATGATGTCTACAGTAGATTTTAGGTTATTTAAGAGATCTTCCTCAGATATTTCAGTAGGAGCTCTTATAACTCCCTGAGATTCCAGCTGATTATTGGGTATCCTAGCTTGAAGTTTATGTTTTTCTAATAAATCTTTATTTAATAAAAATTCATTAGCCTATTTCATTGATCGAAAACATATTTTGAATGCAGTAGGACCCATAGTACGAATATAGAATACACCAGGTACAGTCCTCAGAATAGAATTGACTTGCAATAAGTTTACATTGTTGCCCTCAATAGGAGACAACAGGATAAAATATTCATTTTTAGTAGTGTCAGAATATAGGTAATTTTGATCTTTAAACAGTCCTCTTTTTGAGTGAGTAAATTTAATACTCATCTTAGCATCTGGCTCTTCATCAGATATGGAAGTATTTTTTTTTCTTTTTAACTTGCCTCCGCTTGACTCGCACATATCCTCTAACAACACACGAGGACTTAAATTGGAGAAATAAGTAAAAGAAACTAGGAGAAGCAACAAATAAATATTAAACAAATAAAATAAATTTAAAATTTCCGCCCTCGCGTTACAAGTTTTCCCGCCTTTTTTTCGCGTCAAAGAGTATATACTCAAGGCGAAAGAGAATGCACTTTTTTTTACACATGCATTTTTTTTTTATTTATGCAATAAAATAATTAAAAATAAAACACACATTTTGACACACACACGCACGCATATATATTCTTTTGTTTATTGTTAAAGTACGGCCGCTCAGAGATTGCGTTTCTGACATCTGTCAATTCGTCATGACTAGTGATGTACCATAAATGACATTATTTAATATTTAGTAATGTTATTTATTGCATTCATTATGCATATTTATTCAATTTAATATATATTTTGTTATGTTTTTATAGGAATTATATTTCAAAGACAATGTTAATAAAATTGTAGATGAATGAATTAAATTGAAACGTAATTTCAAATGAATTCATTGAATGTAACGAAGGAAAAGAAAATAAGAATGCTGTATTTATTGGAAAATGTATATTATGAAATATATAGTTTTAAGCTTAAAATAATGAAGACTACGTCAAATCAAAATTTAATATGATTCCAATTCCATTTTTTGTCTTTACTTAAAACTGCAATGCAAAAAATACTACTATTTTATTTTGAAATATATTCTGTTAAATGCTTTTCAAAAATATATACATGTTGCATTAGTTTAATAAATTGACACATCAACATCGTCTATGTTTTGAATATTTATATATATATATATATATATATATATATATATACAGATGGGCAAAGCACCGGGTTTAAACCCGGTGCTTTGGTAAAAACCCAATAAACACCCATAAACTCCCATAATCACCCAAAAAAATAGGTTTTTACGTATTTTTTTGAAAATATGTAAGTAATACCAATAAATTATTTTTATAAATTGTATTGATCAATTCTACAATATTAAATAAAACGTTAACTAATAATATTTCAGGAAATTTTAAAAATCTATATATAATAAAATGAAAGTAATTAATTTTCAGTGTTTTCATGTTGCAGTTGATCAACATGTTGGCCTTTTGCTTCCCGTAGATACTTTAAAATTTCTTCATAACACCTCGTTCGCACACATGGCCGTATATATTTAAATTCTTGAGCCACTAACAGTCCGAAATACTCATTTCTTTTATCCTCTTCTCCATAAATTAAGCATTTAGAACAGTTTGTTTCTTCTTTCAGTAAATTTTCTTTTACTTTATCCTCGTTTTTTTCTTTGTTGCGACGACGCTGGGTAAATCATCTGGACACTGGGTCTCACTATCGCCAAATATATTTGGAGATCGGCTTCGGCTACGGCTTGGCAGACATTTTTTTCTTTCTACAATTTTAAATTAAATTTATTAGAATAAATGCTTCGAACACACGCGATCTAAGTACCTTTTGTGTTTATTATACCTTACCTACCTAGGTATAAAAAGAGTACTTACGTAGATTTTCTTTTATTAACTGTTTTATACGAAGATCTTGATCTCTCAAATTAGCATCCATTTTACTTCCAGTGATTATCAACTAAATTAATAATCCACAAAGTATTAAATAACGTTTTTATGAAATATTTAGCACAAAAACAATACCCTTTAAATATCGATCGTCAGTAACTGTGGCTGACTTACCTATATTCTAGCAAGCAGGACTGCCAGATGTGAAGGGGAAATCCCCAATAAATTGTTGCATGTGACTGATGATGTGAGCATGTTCGTTTCATAATAAAAATGTTGCCAGGTAACCAAAAAGTCGTATGTTTTTGTGCGAATTACGATCATAATCTTTACGATCGTACATTAAAAAATAGACAAATAATAGTATGAGTACGATTTAAATCGTATATCTGTCAACCCTGCTAGCAAGACAGCGACAAAATCACGTTGCATAACAATGTAGCCCAAGCTTATATCTTATGAAATATACGGAAGAGATACGGACTTAGAAAAAACAGAAATGTTGTTCTTTGTGGAAGTCATTGATGAAATTCTATGTATTTTAGCCCGCAAACTTTCTTCAAACAAAAACAGCGCCATCTAGTATCGAGTTCTGTAATTATCTCTTTGTTTATGGATTTGAAGTAAGACCGCCACGCATGCAATACATTATGACTGGGGATTCCCCTATTCGTCGACGCTGAATATGAGGCGACGACAATCACTGTCAAACGTGTTCACTATTACTCTGACTCTGGTAACGTGACTTCCTGGTAACGTGTTAGGTAGGAAAAGCAGTAAAAAAGTGCATATTAAGGGAGCAGATTTGAAATAATATTTATACTTAACAAGAAATAATTAAAGGTAAGTGGATTTTTGAATGATACAATTATATCATGATCACTTAACAATTTTAACTTAAAATTAGATGTATTATTACAAGCTTTTATTTAGCTTGCGTTATGTAAATAAAAGTATGTAGGTATGTTCGTTTGTTGATGCAATTATCCTCAATCCTCAACCGACTGGGATAAAATTTTCCATACACGTTTATTTTGGATGATAGTGCATAGTTAGCTGAGAGTCGTCATTGGATAATAATGGTGGATAGCCTAAGATGTGTACTAGATATTTATTTTTAACATAATATGCGTAAGTACCTAATCGAATTAAAGAAGTTGCTGAGAAAAATACAGAACAATACGATAATAAACTAGCGTCTGCGTTTAATCCTCCGAGGAGATGTAATTTTACAAAGGTTTTTTGTATTTATTTTATTATTTTTTTAATAAATTTATTGTAAATAACAAGAAATAATCATTGTAAAAAAATAGGCACTCTATTGTTGAATTTTCGTCAGACCAACTAATCATCGTTCATTTTTTTAGGTTCAATGGGGAGACCTAAAGATTTACGCATATGGGAGCACTACCGTACTTTACCAAACAAGTCTGTTTCTTGCAAGCTTTGTAATAAGGTCTACAAATTCAGTAATGCTGCCAAAATGCTTCAACATCTTATCACTTGTCCAAAATCTCCAGAAACATTAAAAGACTCTATGAAACTTATAAAAGATAGCTCGTCCAAAACCAAAATGTCTGGACTGTCAGAGATAGAGACAAATGATTCTTTTATAAGCCCCTCGTCGTCTGCTAACACTACAATAAATGCTGAGTTTCAAGACACCGATGATCATATAAAAACAGAATTAGCGAGAGCTATATTTGTAACAGGGACGCCATTATCGATGGTGCAACATCCTTTATGGATACAATTTTTCGAAAAATTGCAACCAAAATTTAAAATACCTTCACGTAAAGCTTTAGCGACAAAATACTTAGATAAAATATATAGAGAAATGCGTTTTGAGTTAAATGAGGAACTAAATGCTTGTAGTTACTTACACCTTCAGTGCGATGGCTGGTCTAATTTAAGAAATGAAGGAATAATAAACTTTCTTATATCAAAACCTCAACCTGCATACGTTAAAAGTTTGAATACAGAAAGTAATCCTCACACTAGTGAATACCTTAGCCAAGAAGTTGAAAAAGTAATGAAAGTGTATGGAGCAAATAAGTTTCTTGTACTTATTGGCGATAACGCTAGAAATATACAAAAGGCATTCGAATTAACAAAACTCAAATATCTACATGTTGTTCCTCTCGGTTGCTGTGCACATATCCTTAACTTGTTGTGCCAAGATATTGTAAAGATACAAGAAGTAACTGTGTTTATTATGCAAGCCATAAATATAATAAAAACTGTTAAAAGGAGTCAACGATTAAGTTCCTTGTTGATAAAATCAAGGCAGAGTGAAGATTCTACACAAACACTAAAATTGCCTTGTGCTACAAGATGGGGAAGTCATGTTACTTCGTTAAAAAGTTTGAAAGCAAATAAGATAGCTTTGCAAATATTAACAGTTAGAGAAGATGTGGTAATTTCAAGAGATATTAAAGATTTAATTCTAAGTGATGATTTCTGGACGAAGACAGGGGAATGTATAAGTATTTTGGAACCAGTCACTGAAAGCATATTTTACTTAGAGAGCGACCAGAATCGTTTGCATCGCACATACATTACATTTAGAGATGTACAAGCTAAGATACGTTTTGCATTAAATGAGATTTCGACATTGAGCGAAGAAAGCAAACAGCAGATTCTAACATCAGTATCTTCAAGATGCAATATGGCAATGAGGCCAATAATAGACCCCAGGACTCTAGGAGTCGAACTTACTCAAGAGGAAGAACTTAAGGGTATGGAGTTTATCTACAATTTAAGCCAACACTTAAGTTTGTCAAATGTAATGGCAGATTTGGCGTGTTATAAAGCTAAAGAAAACTTTTGGGCCAGAGGATTTGTATGGAGCTCATTAGATAGCATTGAGCCCCTAATATGGTGGAAAGGTATTTGTGGTTCCACTGAGTTAAGCAAAGTAGCGATTCGTATTCTATCAGCTCCCTGTACTTCGGCAGCCACTGAGCGTTCCTTTAGTATCCAAGGCTACATACATAATAACAAAAGAAATCGACTTACAACTGAAAGAACTGAAAAAATTTCATTCATTTGTTATAACTGGAATCTTAAACATAAAGCTGAATGCGAGGACATTCAGTTTAATGAAGAAAATACCTTAGAAGCTTTCATTGAGCAAGTAAATGAACATAACAGTTTAGACGAAATAGAGCCTATCGAACCTATACAATTCATCGCTTGTAATAACTCTGAATCTGACAGTGATTGACTGTAGTTTTACATTTTACTTTCATCTCTTTCTTAATAAACTCAAAATCAAATTAAAAGTTTTTTATTCTGTAGGCTGCATAATAATATTGTCTATGTCCAGTATAGTGGACGTCTTGCGGCTGAGATGACGATGATGAAGTACAAAATCATAAACACCCAAAAATTTGGGTGTTTATGGGGTTTAAACCCAATAAACCCAAAACACCCGGTTTTTACCCACCAGACTTTAAACCCACCCAGGTGGATTGCCCATCTCTATATATATATATATATATACATACATATATATATATATATATATATATATATATATATATATATATATATATATATATATATATATATATATATATATATATATATATATATATATATATATATATATATATATATATATATATATATATATATATATATATATATATATATATATATATATATATATATTTAAGAAATAAAAGATCACATCATTGTAATATAGTTAAATCAAAGAAATACAATCAAAACAATTCTATAATTATGTAATTATGGAAATTGTTAATGAGGAATTAATGATTCATAATAATACTTGTTAACCAATAGCCTTTTCTATTTAATTTTGTACAAAGTCATGGTTGGTGCTTTATATTTTTCGTTTTATTGTAAATTTTTTAAGCTTTGCATATGATACTTTTCTGTAAATTAAATTCGATTTTTAATATTTTTTTCCGATAAAGGCTAGTGGCTAACAATCAAATATTAATATAAATTAAAAATGAAAATTTATGCACTTGTGTCAGTATTAGGTGGGGTCAGTACAAAAGTCATGGTGTCAGTACAATCTGGTTCAGACAGACTATGACTGTTAGTATTCTTCAATTCATCGACAAAGTAACATGTATTTCAGTTTTTTTTACAGGTTTCGTTGATATGAGACCGGTGCCAACTATGATAATGTAGTGATAATCGCAAAATGGGATCAATAGATACAAAATCAAACTTCAGACGAAAATTTATCGATGTTGTAGTATAAATATAACATTGATAATCGTTTCCAAGATGTTTCGGCCGCTTATAGATTAAAAAAAAAACTTTGAGATAAGATTTAGACACCTGTTACTAACTTTACAGCCTCCAATTTTGCCTTTTTAGAGATTTAATATTCTATTAAATGTTAAACCTTTTTGCAAAAACTATTATATTTTTCCATTCAACTTCAAATCTTTAAAACCAATTGTGTCCCTATTCTGACCTCTATTGACCCCATTTTACGATACTTGCTCTGTGATATAGGCTTGTAATATTATTATTGCTTTTTTTACAATATTGAATTAGTATTGGTCAGATATTGTAACTATATATTTCGTATTTAATATAGCAAAAAGAAAATAGTGCTAGCGCAGGCACCAAATAATTTTAGGATGGACATATCTTACCCAGCCCCTCTTATCTATCTCAGTGCTCATAATTCATTTCGATTAAATCAGTTTTAGATATCTCTAGCTTATAGATTTCATCATCGTGCATGTACTTTATAAAGAATTGAGTCGTAGGTGCGAATCTATCCGGTCAATATCTATCGTGGCGTATCGGTACATATATTGCGGCTATATATAGTTATATATAATACTAAGCCTACACTCCTTTTCTAAAATGCTGTTTCCCAAACTTTGTTTTTGACGGATGCACTTTGTGCTGTGCCGTAAGAAAGAAAAAATAATAAAAATACTAAACCTACTGTGTTATTGATCAGAAAAAAACTTGTAACGCGAGGGCGGAAATTTTAAATTCTTTTTATTTGTTTAATATTTATTTGTTGCTTCTCCTAGTTTCTTTTACTTATTTCTCCAATTTAAGTCCTCGTGTGTTGTTAGAGGATATGTGCGAGTCAAGCGGAGGCAAGTTAAAAAGAAAAAAAAATACTTCCATATCTGATGAAGAGCCAGATGCTAAGATGAGTATTAAATTTACTCACTCAAAAAGAGGACTGTTTAAAGATCAAAATTACCTATATTCTGACACTACTAAAAATGAATATTTTATCCTGTTGTCTCCTATTGAGGGCAACAATGTAAACTTATTGCAAGTCAATTCTATTCTGAGGACTGTACCTGGTGTATTCTATATTCGTACTATGGGTCCTACTGCATTCAAAATATGTTTTCGATCAATGAAACAGGCTAATGAATTTTTATTAAATAAAGATTTATTAGAAAAACATAAACTTCAAGCTAGGATACCCAATAATCAGCTGGAATCTCAGGGAGTTATAAGAGCTCCTACTGAAATATCTGAGGAAGATCTCTTAAATAACCTAAAATCTACTGTAGACATCATTGGTGTTAAACGTTTCAAAAAAAAGAAAGAAGATGGAAGTTTTCATCCTCTTCCTACAGTTTTAGTAACTTTCTTCTCTACGCAGCGACCTGATCACGTAACGTATGACCATATTTGGCTGGATGTGCATGAATTCATTAGACCTCTACTCCAATGCTTCACTTGTTACAAATTTGGTCATGGAAGCAGTTCCTGCAGAAGTAAGCAAGTTTGTTCCATATGTGCTGGTGCCCATGATTATAGATCCTGTATCAACAAAGAGAACCCTAAATGTGTTAATTGTAATGGACAACATGTAGCAGTATCTAATAGCTGTCCCACTAAATCGATGAAATTGTCTCAAATCAAAGATAAAATTCTAGGCAAAACATCTTATGCATCAGTGACTTCAAAATCGGTTAACTCTGTAATTAATTCAAATACCCCTGTGTCTATTAACAGCCCAACGCAAAATAAATCTCCTAAAAAAAGGGCATTAGTTATTGACATCATTAACTCAGACATTGTACTCAACACAATTACTAAGACTGTTATTGAGCTAGTTAAGAAAGCTCAAACTAATTCTGATACAATTTCATCCAAATTAATTAAGGAAATACTCATATCTAATTTTTCAACATGACCATTACATCTTTAAAGGAAATTAATATTGTTCATTAGAACTCAAGAAGCTTTCTGTCTAAAATATTTCAATTTACAAACTTTATTTACAACTTTACATCACATTTTGATATCATTTTACTAAATGAAACTTGGTTTGATTTTAACAAAATCTGTAAATTGTCTGGTTACAATATTGGTTTGAAAAATCTAATGTTTTTCTTGGTAGACAATATTATACTACATTAAGTAGATTGCGGATAGGTCATTGTAAATTTCCTGCACATTTGCAACGTATTAATTTATTGGATAATTCTATCTGTAAATACTGCCAAAACATTTTTTCTGATTTGGATCATATTTTTTTTGTTTGTCCTAAATTCTCGCTTCAACGGTTACTTTTTATTTGTCAATGTCAAGATTTATTAAAATGTCAAAATATTCCTACTTCAGTGCAGGATCTACTAAAACATACCATTTTGTACCAAGAAATTTTTAATTATATTACTTCAACAATTGGTGAAATTTAAATATGTAATTGTAATTAGTATATTATAAACTTATACTTTTCTACTTAACTTACTTTCTTAGTATATTGTAATTAATTTATAACTATAATAATTTTTGTAATTTGTCTTGTAATTTTATATTGTTACCTTGTAATTGTTACTTTTTGGCTGACGGCTTTCGCCAAAGTCACAATAAATGAAAAAAAAAAAATGTTATTGTACAATGCTTGACACTTTTGACTTCTGACATTAAATTATGTCAATGTTCTTTTCTAATTTAGAGTATTAGATTAATATAAACGATATTTTATTTGCTAAACCAAACTCAGTTACGAGTTACAAGAAAACCTTTGAATATTTCTCTGAGTAAAAGTTAATACATTAAACGAAACAAGTACGTATAATTTTATATACCTTGTTTTTTTAGGCTTTTATTTTTAGATTAGAATTATTTAACATTACGTGCTTTGGCTTATCAACTACTACACAGACGAAATTTTATTCGATTTTCTATAACTTCGTTTCATTCCAAATTTATATGTTCTTTTCCATTACATATTTTAAAGCGTATTAAACTTATATAAAACTTATGTTGGTGACCTGAAAGAGTAAACTATAATCTGGTCTTTTATTTGTTGACAAACAACAATTTTTATCAAAAAAATTAAATTATGTTAATTTTCATTACTTCAGAAAGTCTCAGAGTTTATTGTTTTTAAAAGTTTGGGTAAATGTAAATTGTCTTGTACCAACACAAATCATTTGAATAATAAGCCTTAATATAAAATTCCTTTCTAATATAATTAATTCAATATCAGTTACATTGTTATGAGTTTTAACAATAGCATGCTTTCCATTGGAATTCCTTATGATGCCATTCACAGTCATAATTTTTTAATAATGTGGTCCATTCTCTATTTGAAACATGATACCATCCAAAATTTGGAAGCATTTCTATTTTTATCCGAAACAGAAGATTGCAAAGTGTATGCATTAAAAAATAGTGATCAAGTAGAATGTTCTGACATTTATAATTGTTTACAAATACAGAATTCCACATTGTAATTAAATAATAATTGTTAAATATCTGTACTATATAAAAAATACATGTACATTTATAAATAACACCATTTTATCACACACCCATTTATTCAAGAAAATATTATTTTGAATTAGCAAGGATTATTTACAAAAGTTATTTCAGTTAGCTTAGCTTAATTTTCTTAGTTTAGCTTAATTTTCTCTGTCCTTGCCTTATCTTTACTGTGAAGCAGGTATGTTCACATGGCTATGTTTTTATGTGAAGGAATCCCATCCTATGGCAGTGATAATACAGGGTATGCTGACATAACATACTGTAATCCTCAACAATGGCAACTCGTTAGTGGAACCAATGGCATCACAATGCACTCTGTGATGCTATTCATATTTATAGGCAATGGTTACCACTTTCCATCACATGGGCTAATCAATGTTTGGTATTCTAAATATCATAAAAAAAAACAAGTTTATTTACAGCTTCTTTTATAATAAATTTACTTGAGGTGTCTTCAATAACTCGGCTTTGTAAATTATACATTTAATTTCAGTGCCTCCAAAAACAATGTTTGAAGAAGAGGTCTTTGTATCTGAAGAAGAAGAAGAATGTTTCGCTACTTTAATTTATAAATTAAGGTACTTTTAAATTCTTTATTCTATTTTCAATTCTATGGTGTGTTTCAATAGAAATGTAAACAAACAAATAATTGAAACTAACAAGAAAAGGCAAGAATAGAAAACAGCTAAAAGCAACCAACCAACATACAAAATCCCCAACAATATATTTAAACTAAAAAGATGAGCTTGTTAACAATCCAAATATAATAAACAAAATTAATGTCTTTTCCTATGTAAAATGGAAGAAAATTTCAGATAGATAAACAAAAGTTAGCAACTAACAACTAACCGAAGAACACTAATGTTAAAACAAGAAAAAAATAACAAAATATAAAGGTCTCAACCTGGTTGATTTCCTTGGGACAACTGACTGATATGCTTCTGAATTTACATTTATATATACATATAATAAAACTGTAGAAGTGGAATGTCTGTACATAGAAAAATAATTCTAATAACTGAGTCTGGGGGATGTTAGAAGTGAAGTAGAACACATCCAGATTTTTTTAAAATTTGTCTTGTCTATCTGTTTGTTTGTTTGCACGGGTTAATTCCAAAAATGTTGGAACGGTTTAAATGAAGTGGTACCTTACATCCCCGGTCAGCATTTTAGATACATTTAATCACAAATAATTAAAAAGTTCCCGTGGGATAGTTAAAAAACTATAGTAACTTATATAGCTTAGTACACAACCTACTTAAATAATCATTTTGACTTAAGTAAAGACTAAGAATGACACATTATTTGTTAATTTTGATCCAGTATTTCCAGACATAATAAATAGGTAGATACATTGATACATATTGGACAGGAATATCAAATACCATGCAGGCAAAGTAGTGGACATCAATTAGTATAAAATAATGCGAGTTTATTTAAAACTTGTCTGATTTTTTCATATGATCCTTACATTTGATAACCCATATTGGTAAATTCTAATGTGTATGTACAAGCTATTACAATGTATTATATGTGAAACATATATGACACTACTGTCTTATGTTTTGTCTAATTTGTTATATAAATATATGTATATTGATGTAATAATGCAAATTGTGACATATTCGCACTGTTATTTTCCAGATATCAGCAACAATTGGCGAAAAGGGATGCCTTGATAAAATCAACACAAGAGTTAGATGAAGATATAGCTAAGATACAAGCAAAAAAGAGGGTTTTGGTTAGCCAATTACTAAGCGGCCTTGTAATGTATATAAACACCTACAAAAAAACTGTCTAAATTTGCATTGGTGTAATAACGAAAATTATTTGTAAGCATAACCATACTATACTTTTAAGTTTTTGTCTTTTGATGTTGAGTTAAGCATTCGCTTTACGACAGTTGTTTAAATTTGCCTATTGCTACAAGTAATAGACATTTTTACCAAAAATGACAGATTTTTTTAAATTCTATTGAGGCTTAGGTTAATAGGATTCTTTACAGTTTGGGAAAGTATTTTATAATTTGTAATTGTAAATTTTCTTGTTTATGATACTCATGTTATGCTAAAAAGCTAACATTAATTAATGAATACTCAGTCTTTCTCAAAATAATTGCCCATTTATATTTAGAAATATAAGACAGTATTTAGTTTTATCCATAAACTTAGTATATAATTGAACCTATTACAGTATTTTAATAGTGTGGAGTCATATATAATTGGATAAGCATCAGTGTTCTGAAGAAAAGATGACAAAAAGCAGGATATCTCTTTATATGAACTTATTGAGCCATCTACCAGAACAAGTCTTTGTAAAGCAAAATCTGCATTTTCTTCAGTGCATAAATCACAGTTTGATGAAGTCCTCAGTTTGATTTTATATAAATGAAATGAAAAAAGTTCATTTGAATCCTATTAATTGTTGTGATAAATTTCCTGGAAGGATCTTTTGACGTGAAGTACCATGATTTACTGGAAATAGGTTTTTTTAATATCGCCATACCATTTTCTTTATTTTCACTCCACTTACAATTCCATTTACTGTACATTTTTCTTTTAAACTATCGAAATCAACCATCGGTACTAAAAGAAATTTATGATAATTTGTCAACAACTTCATTTCCAGTAATGCCGGAGTGAGATGGGACCCACATAAATTCTATATTTTTTTCTGATGTATAGAACAGTGCTGTACCATGCTCATACTATCGTTAGATGATTTATCGATTCTGTATAGGATTGTAAATCGAAACTCAAAACTTGCAATTTTATTTAACAATTAATAATTTTAGTAGTTAATAATTATTTATTTAACTTCAGTACACAAGTAATAAATTGGTATATTATGTAATAATTGTGTTTTAAAAGAATTATATTGCAGAGCAAAGAGCTCAGCCGTGTAATAATATTAAAAAATTTATTTTATTTTAAAATTGAATTATTGATGCTGATATTATTTTATTTTTTGAGTAAGTGGTAATTGAAAAATATTTTTAATATTTTGTTTTAATTTATATAATAAATTTATATATAATTATTATAGCTGCATATGTGACGACCTGTTGCTTTTATCAATTTGTTGAATCAATACAATCGATAAAATGTCATTAACACTTATTGGCAATCTCTTATGAATCTCTTAACTTCAAGATTTGAAGATGTTCACGTATTTGTTATTATTTTAATTTGAATACTTAAGTCTTCTGAATATTAATTAGTTGAAATGTGATAATTTTCTTTGTTAAATCGACAAAGATACAACATATTTGTTGTGGTTCTAAATATTGTAGTTAAATAAGTGAAATATTTTAAGCATATTTACACGTGAAACATGAAATATATTTATATTACATTCAGGTAAAGCATACAAAGAGAGTATTAACAAAATTATTTTGTTAATACTCTCGCCAGCTTCAAAACAGCTTCAAGCTTATGTTGTGCAAATTATTGTCCTATTATCTCTCTCGCTTTAACCTACAGGTTATTGTATTTCCTTTTTTTTTACATTGCCAATTTGTATATTTTATAATGTAAGGTTTTATCTACCTCGGTAAATGTATAATAACTGAAATAATGCATTTTTTTAGTACGATTGTTCCGTTATGGAACAGGCCAAGGTTGGAGACCATGCTGCTTAATCTTCAGTATGATAATTTGTCTGGAATTGAAATAATGCATAATAAACGTCGTAAAAAACAAAACAATTTTTACTTTATAACACAGGCCAAACGAGTAAGCGGTTCATCTATGTACGGGGAGAACGTACATAATGTAACTTATAGAACGCATGCATTGTTATTATAATAGAAATTCTGAGAGGTAAATTTTCATTCGACTTTAAAAAAAAGGGAGAAGATTCTGGATTCGGTTAATTCTTTTTGTCTGTTACTTCAGAACTACGTCATTTATAAATCGATTAGGAAAATTATTTTTTATCTCTAAAGTTATCTACTTACAGGTTTTTTAATGGGTTAAAATTGAACGGTAACCCCGCCTGCGCTATCAGTCTACATTGGTGGGGCACCAGTGATAAATGATAGGTGAGGATGAAGGCAATTCAGATGGCTCATCGTGAAGAATTTGACAAGAATTAATCACGATAGTTTCCAGGGGGAACCGTGTGGATGTCGACCTGATAGGATATATTGCCAGCAATGGAGCTATTATTGTCCAAGCATAACTATATAACATTTCTATGTTATGAAAAAAAAAGTAACTGGTATGGCCATGATTGAAGTCTGCGATCTTTATTTGGAACAAAATCTTAGATTATTATCAAAGAACTCGTATCTTCCAACCTATATTTTGTAAGAAAGGAATATTTATTTAGTGTTTAATTCTACACTTAATGAGAAAAGATTGATTTTTGTTTATAATAATTAAGATTGAGTTATTGACCACCAGCGGTTACACATTAAGTGGTGGCCAATTTTGCACTAAGTATTGATCCGAGTCTTGCTAAATCTAGTGTGCAACGGTTTCCTTCATTATAAAAATCATGTCTAAATACGAATCTAAAAATAAGACAAAATTTACAAGGGGAGAAAAATGTCTGTTTATTCATATTACAATAACATTTACACTGATTATTATATTACTGATTGTGTTTTTTGTTCATTTGTGCCTGGTCGGTCACAAAGGTAACGAAGTATTTAAAATATCACAAAGACATGCCGCCACAGATAAACCAAGTCAGTTTAAGTTAACTTTTCTTTATTATTTTCCATTTATGGTTCCGTTATCATCCCATAAAAATGTATATGACGCCAATGTACATGAAGAAAGTCTATATATATATATATCCGGTCAGTTGACTTGTGACGGATTCATCAGGAGGTATAATGTGAAGGTCGCTTTATTAGAGGTGTCCTATTCTTCGCTGTGTTGTCAGAGCATAGAATAGGCCACCCTTTCCTTTTCCATGAGTGTCGTAAGAGGCAACTAAGGGAAAGCGAGAGATGGGCTACTGCCCTCATCCCTCTTGAAACATATCCAAAACCTAACTGCAGTTGCATGCCTGCCTGTCAAGCGTGACAACTGCTGATACAACCCCCAATAGCGGCTTATGTTCAGCAGTGGACAGTTAAAGGCTAATATGACGATGAATGGAATTGCTAGTCCCCATTCTTATCGATCCCGCTCTTTCGATTTTTGCCATTTCTAGTAGTAGTAGCAATACTAATATTATTAATATTTAAACGCGACTTAGTTCGCATAACATGAATAAAGGTAGCCTACTGCATCTCAAATACTACACGTATTTCTTTAAATTGTTGATTGACGACGCCAAGACAAAGAGATAATAAACAACAAACTCACGTGATAATGTTATTACTGTAGTTGTATACAGTAAGTTCTTTAGACTATGGCCGAACTAAGGATGTTTGACCATCGATACGATGTAGACACCTACTTGATGGTCGAGATCATATGATCCTACGACTTAGCAAGCAGCGTATGTCATCTATCTCAAATACTAAGCGTATGCCAAATTTCATAACGATTAATGGAACAGTTCTTTAAATTAAGTTTCACATCTATATCTATACTTATAATAAATCTGTAGAGAGGTCAATTCTGTAAATGAAATATATTTCCAAAATAACTATCAGGGGGTGATTAGTGCTCGATGCTGATGCTAAAAATGCAATCAGTAAAATTTTTGTCTGTCTGTCTGTATGTTCGTTATAGAAACAAAAACTACTCGACGGATTTTAATGAAACTTGGTATAATTATTCTTCATACTCCTGGGCAGGTTATAATATTCATCACGCTACGATTAATAGGAGCAGAGTAGTGAAGGGAAATGTTAAAAATGTCCACCCGTACGACGCCGGGACGGGCAGCTAGTTTATAATATTAATGTGGACTAATACAGTAATGTATATACATTCATTCTTTGGTTATAGATTGTTATCAGGATTATATACCTACCTATACTTTAAAATTTTAGGTCACAAATTGGGATTAGAAGGCGTAGGCGTTGTTTACTTGAACATAACGCCAGTTAGGATTATTTGCGTTTCACTTCTTCTCCGAGACAGATGGTCAGTGGCTCCTGGTCACTGTGTCTCTATTCGAACTGAACCAGAAATAGCGAACTTGCTGCAGGCCTGGAAAATTCGTTATAGGACAAACGCCTATAAAGACATAGGTAAGATTGAGACTACAAATTTAGTTTGCTTGGATAAATATCTCTGTTCCACTCTGTCAAGAAGTTTGCATGGCTGCGTTTTGGTTCGATGGGTGGGATATAGCAGTGAAATTACTAGGTACGGGGACAACATTTTGGTCTTCAGAAACAGCCACGCGTGAGAGTACCATGGCCATCAACGCTGCTCCGTATCCCTTTACGATAACTTACCTTAGTCGCCTCATACGACACACACAGGAAAGGAAAGGGTAGCCTATCCTAACCCGGGACCACGAAGGCGGAGGGGGGGGGGGGGGGGTGAAGAATTGTTAGTAATGAGGATTAGTGGAGGGAAAGGGATTGTTAGTAATGAAGATTCAGAATCCCATTGCTAGCAATATACCCAACCAGGTCGACCTCCATGCGGTTTCCCCTGGAAATTATCTTAGTTAATTCCTGATAAATTCATCATGATGGGCTAACTGGCCTGTTTTCATTCTCATCAATTACCCTTCACTGGTGCCCCGCCAACGTATACCGTTAGCACATCCGGGGCTGTCATTCCATTTTCATCATTGTGATTGATTTATTGTTAGATTCGTCACTATGGCCCAACTGATCTGTTTCCTGACCTTCTCACCTGTCATCTCCCACTGCTACCTCGCTAATGTATACCGATATTCATCACATTGTATCTAAAACAGGTTTACTATTGTAGTCTTTTGAAGGAAACAATAAAGAGTATCTGTCCATCTATCTATCATCCATTAAAAAAAAAAAAACTCGTAATCACGCGGTAAACAACTATATAAAAACCGATTGCTTGTATTTTTTACACCTTACCATCAGGTGGGCCATATGCTCGTTTGCCACCTCAGTGGTATAAAAAAAACCTTGACGTCAGTTTATATTATAGTTGCTTTTTGACTGAAATTATGGTCTGAATGAAAATGCTTAAAGTTTACTTGAAAAAAAAAATTGTTCCTTTCTTTCAGTGAGATGCTGTAACGATTTATTAAACTGTCTCAGCTTAGCCGCACAATATAATCTTCTGTATTCATGACTATGTTTGTTTGTATTGGTCTGGGTATTTTCTCTATAAAATATGTATATATTAATAAAAAAAAGTATGTTTATAAATTGTCTAATATTCATAATACAAGCTTGTTTATGACTAGATGGTGTTATAAAATATGTCTATGGTAATACATATATTTATTATTGCTAATACAAACATATTTCATTGCACGAACTTACAAGCATATAAACTATTGTGCAGTCAACGATGTCAAAATGATGGCGATTATTTTTTATTAAATGTTTAACTACAATAAATATTCAAACATCATGTTAGAATATTTCAATTTACCAAATGTTATTTTACATTTTATACAGAGACTGATATCAAAACAAGTTTAGTTCATCCCCATTTTAATAGAGATGATTTCAATAACAATATAGGACTATTTGAGCACAAATCAGCGATAATATTGTCATTTTACGAATGTAAGTACCTAATTAATATCAGTCAATACATATATTACAATTGTAACTGGTCGCTGTCTGTACTTGAAAGATAAATACGAAAAACTATTATAGAGGGGGGGGGGGGGGGGCTTTATGAACACAATGGAACCCAAAACAATGAGTATTAGAATTTTTGTTTGTTTGACTGCACGTTTGTGCCCGCTAATCTCAGAAACGGCTTAACTGATTTGAATGCGGTTTTCACTAAAGGGTTGCGGTTTACTCCATTTTATTCATTTACTGTTTGATTTATTTAAATCGGCTCATAAATAATAAAAGTTATGTCAATCTAAAGAATAATATATAAAATGCTATAAAATAACCGATCAGTAAAATTGGCTGAAATTTTATGGAGGTATTCGATACGTAATTATTATTTAATTTAAGTATATAATACAATATAAGACCGGATTCATGAAGAGTTCCAATGGGAATGATATACGGGAACTACTTAGTTAGAAGCGGGCAAAGCAGTATTTTACAAGTTACCTGCTCGGGTACCTCTATTCCATTTGTATTTTTACTACCAAACAAATGTACTGCTAATACTGGCATGATTGTTTCTATTTGTGATAGAGATAAGAGTGGGATATGACTGCGAAATGTAGGATACGCAGACGACATCTTGGTTCTCAGGAATGGCAACGTCTAAGGAGTACCCTGAGCATTTCACCGTATTCTGTGATGTTTACGATACTGTTTATGCCTGTAAGCAGTAGTTACCATTTTTTATTAGGTAGCCGTCAGCTAGTTTACCATTGTAATGAGTTATATAAAAAATGTATAATTGTAAAATGCAAATAAACAAACATGCAAATAACCACAAGATGTGTTTCCAGCAGTTCATAGTTTTGTTGCACTAAACAATAAAATATCCTTTACGAATACGCCCAAGTATATGAAGATTGTCACTTGGGATCTCCAGCCTTCTCAACAAAAGGGTAAGTAAATAAAACAATTTAAGGGGAAATATCATCTATCTATATCAAGACGTTAATATGGGAATTGTATCAATTATGAAAAATATTGTTAAAATCGGTTCTGAATTTGAAAGCATTTATTGTTTTATACTTTTTATACCTTTTATATCTTTAAGCGTCGACTAAGTGGGCATGACTTATCACTATGGTGATACATCCATATATGTATATGTGCATATTTGTATTTTGTATGTATTATTTATTCCAATATTTATATGTTTACAGCGTTTATGTATTTTGTGTAATTGTAAATGTAGTTTGTATTATTCTTTGTATATACTTATCTTACAAATATGTTTATGCAATATACACAAATCGTATGCCACCGTATTTTTATGTAAGAAAATTTCAATTTAATTTACATGAAAAGGTTTACTAGAAGAAATCTCTTATTAGAGATAAGCTCGCCTTTGTACCTTACGTTTAAAATTAATTGTTCTTAATATTATGCTTGTGTGCAATAAAGAATAAAGAACGGTACATCACAACCAACACTCAGGGTTGGTGGATTGTTTGTAATGGGTCTAACTGCCCCATTGCTGGCAATTCATCCTATCAGGTCGACCTCCATGTCCCTGGAAACCATCGTGATTGATTCTAGTGCAATTCGTCATGATAGGCTAACTGACCTGCTTTCATCTTCATCTATCATCCCTCATTGGTGTCCCGCCCGCATATATCGTTAGCGCAAGCGATGTGATCATTTCATTATTATCCACAAAAAGAACACTCAGGGTTAGTTATAGCCTACCTGGCCAGCCCCGCTTGGACCTCGATATTCCTGAGCCCTCTAAGGCCTATATAGTTATTCTCAGAGTCATTAGGAGTGGTCACGCATGAGAAGTACTATAATCATGCATATTTATAACCACACTGCAGGATAACTCGTAATTTTATTTTGCAAGTAGATATAAAATAAAATTGCATTTCAGGAGATTACAGAAGTATCATAATGAACACTAACATTGTGAAAGGTATGTCACTCGAACAATGTAGGCAAACGATGTCTCCCATAGTCGAACTGCGGAACAACGAGTTTTGTGTAATGATCGACCGAAAAAGCAAGACAGTAATTGGTTAGTTGTTACTCTTTAAGAATAAGCTAATGCATACATTTTTTAAGTGAACAAAAATTAAGTGGCAAACTTACCCGAACTGCCAGTGTACCAGACAGATGAGAGTCTTATCAATCTTTAACTGTCTAACTTGCCTTTAACTAGCTGAATATAAGCCTCCCCTTGGGGGGTTTTGGCAGTAGTTGCCACGTTTTACAGGCGGATTGGCAGCCGCAGTTAGGATTAGAGATGTTTTAAGAGGGATACTGCTATCCCTCGTCCTCCCTTAGTTGCCTCTTACGACACCCATGGGAAAGGAAGGGATGGTCTATACTATGCCGGGACCACACGGCCATTATCACGAAGTTAGGTCATTCATGAATGCGTAAGGAATTAACCATACGCTTTCCAGCGGGTCGTCGTAGAAGTCGACCTCTGTCCCTTTCGTGTTTCTACCGTGAACCAGTTGTGTTTGCATAGTTGTGTTTCAGTTTGAAGTATGGGAAATGGTAGTGAATTTACAGTGTACAGAGGAATAACATCTGAGTCTTCAGGAATGGTAACGCATGGCGGATATCATGGGCGAAACAGTATACTCTGTTATGTCCATGGTACTGCTCATGTCTATAGGCGAGTATTACCACTTTTCATCAGGTGGGCCGTCAGCTTGTTTGCCATTTTAAGTTGCATAAAAAAATTATTTTTAATTTTATTTCTTATAAATACGCCCATAAATGTAGAGTACAGTCCATAGATATAAATAAACTATAATGACTATGAATCTCTAAAGGGTGTCATACACGAACACTTATAACAGAACCTTTGACTTAGTATAATGTACTTGCGTCACAGGACTGACTTAATGTATATTTATTTCATAGTTCCAGGAGCCGTAATATTTATAAATTCGAAAGTACTGGGATTCTTTTCCTGGGGTCCTAAACAAGCTAGAGAAGAACCGATTGTCATATTAAATATTTTTTTCTATAGGGCTTGGTTAAAATATACGATTTTAAAATAATTTTTCGATGCAAAGTATTTACTTATGATTTTTGGATGATTTGTTGATGAGTCTTATAATTAGCAGAGAAAATAATATTCGCTTATATGTATGCGCCAGATTTAAAATCACGACTTAGGGTTTATTACTTAAGATAGTAAATTATCAATGTACTACTAAAAAGATGTCGTTTAAAATTGTTTTATTTTGATCAAATAAATAAAATGGCAAATGTCAAAAAAATTTGTACTTTAGTCCTAAAAATTCTAAGGACGCTTAAAATATGCAATAAAACAAATCAACAATTCTCAAAATCGATATTCGTCTGTTTATTGGTTACAAGAACACCTGAAACTAAATGAACGAATTTTCCTTGTGAGATTGCGTATCCATTAACCTAAATTTAAAATTATTGTTTGTTGTGTTAAAAAAAAACGTGAGTGTAGTATAAAAAGGCACTTACCTGTATGCAGTAGGTATGCAATAATTTCGTGTTTTGTAACATGTAGACTTTAATTAACTTAATTCAAAGAAAACAGAATATGTTAGATTTCCCATATCAGCGCCAAAGAAGTAAATACCACTGTTAGATTAAACTATCAGGATTAAGACTTTGTGGATAGCCACTTTTCTTAGCATAGGTGTCTAATTGCAATAGGGCTCCCACAGCGGTAGCCTTAAGGGGTAACGAACAGGGCAGTCGCCTGGGGTCTCGCTTTTGCAGGGACCTCGCGTAACAACCCGAGCAATTTAAAACTCAAACTTATTTATTTCTGTAACTTTAACATTTCTCGACAAACATGACAAATACCTAAATCAAACAACCAGACCTAGCTTCGTATCACATACTTTTCACGAAGGACAAAGGGCCTCGCAAAGACCTACCGCCCGGAGCCTTGCAATGAGTAAGGCCGCCGCTAGGCTCCCATATCGTCATAGTCGTAGAATACTGACGGATCTGACAAATATTACATATAAAGATCCGTCAGTATTCTATGACTATGACGATATGTTTGAATTGGCCAGCAGCCTAGTTCAGCTTATTATATTAGTAAAATCAGATAATTAACTGATACAACAACTTGTATATATATATATAGTGTAAGTATTTGCATTATTACATGTATTACATCTCTATATTTAGAAATAATAGAATTTTTATTGTCCTCCCATCAAACTGTTTACATCTACTCATCTCCATCCAAAGATTATCTGGAAGAGATCACTTTTAGCGATAAGGTCGTCCATTGTTTTCTCATTGTGATTAATTCTTGTAATTGTTTATATCTATAATAAGTTTACTATTGTAGTCTTTTGGAGGAAACAATAAAGAGTATTTAAAGTTATTAAGCTGCCATTATATTTAAAAATATTAAAGCAAAATATGTAGGTACATAGTTTTTAACGACATTTAAATGCAACATACTCCTTGATTAACGATTTAGTTTATAGGTTTTTTAAATAATCAATCGAAAACTTTCGAAAATTCTTCAATGCTTCTCAAAATTAACATATAATAATGACGTTGACATACTTCATTCGTAACAAGTGACTAATTTAATTTTAACCTCTGGGGAAGAACTAAGAATAAGGAATTACATAGAAGGAATGATAGAATAAAAACTGTAATAAGTCATATGGTTGCCCCCTTTCTTTTAATGCAAATATAATTAGTAAAAAGAGGACGGAAGATACACCATACACGTTGTCATTTTCCTCAATTCATAGCAGGCTAGTATATTAAAAATGTTTGATATGTCAATTATTTGTCAATAACAAATTTTACATAACTAAATTATATATTTGACATAGTTTATGTAGTAAGTATGCAAGCAGATTGTATCTGAATTTGGTACGGTTATACGATCGTATAACATTTTCTATACACTAGCCTACTATTAATTGACAATTTTATTATTCCTTCTATGTATTTTTTTGTTCTTAGAGGAAGAAGGGATTATTAACAATGGGGAGTAGTACTGTTAGCTGTGGACCCTATTCTTAATCTGTGATTTATACTCTTGCCTCCTTTCTTCTTATGCAAATATAATTAGTAAAAAGGGGACGAAAGATACACTATTACTTGCTTTTTTCTTAATTCATAGCAGGTTAGAACAATATTTTTTTTTTTGTATTTGTCCTCGTTAAATACAATTAAAACTCATAGACCTAAATGCAGCACCCCTTCCAAAAGTATGTAGGTACATAAAATGTCAAAACCATATCCTATACTTATTGTAAATCGGAAAAACAATAACCTTACATCTTATTTCAAAGTCTCTATATAATAGTATACTGTTCCATGGAATTATATAAAAATGATTTGCAAATACACACTTTAGCAATGTGTATATTTTTCAATATTTCTATAATTCATGATAGGTTGTTTTAAAAAAAAGATGTTTAAATATTTGTGAATAGTTATATCTGGTATGTTGCCATAAATTACACTATTAAACGAATAGGTACTGCACTTTACAAATTTCACGTCCTTTTTCTACACTTTTAGTGATAAAAATCATAAAATGTTCAGTGTTTAATATAATTTGAGAATGCAGCATATACAACTTATCAATATGTCGAACTGGCGTGCGTCACATATAGTAGAATATTACATGTGACAGAAAAAGATAGTTACATTCATTTTAGTGTAGAAGTGAGCAGAAGAAAAATATCTTATTCATATTTTCAACTTATGCTTTCTATGCTTCATTATTGTTCGTGAAAAAACCTAGCTATCTCATATTATATTTTCAAATTTTTCGGAAAACATGGACAATGAAACAAGTATCTGTGTTTAGTTACTTTATTTTACTCTACTTCAATTTAAAATCTAATTTTTCGATACGTAAGCAATGCAAATCCTCTTTAGCGTTAAACAATACATAGTTGAAAGTATTGTGCCGAATCAAACAGCATCTGAAAAAAAAAACATGTATTCAGATCTAAAAAATATATACGTACGCATGTACGATATAAAAGAAATATCCCTATTTGTAGTTATTAGGTTATTACAATTACATATAACTATAAAATGACTGGGGGAAAGGGATTGTTAGTAATGGAGTTCGACAGCCCCATTGGTAACAATATGCCTTATTAGGTCGACCTCCACGTGGTTCCCCCTGGAAACCATCTTGAACAATTCTTGTTGAATTCATCACGATGGGCTAACTGACCTACTTCATCCTCACCTATCATCCTTCACTGGTGCCCCGCCGATGTATACCGATAGCGCGGGTGGGGTTACCATTCCATTATCATCCATTAAAAAAAAAACTATAAAATGACTAAACTTATTTTTATTTTATAAGGTGGCATTTTAATTGCACTCTACAAATACAAATAATTAATTAACTATATATAATTTTAAGTACTATTTATCTTTGTAATGTATCATTACTTATAATTCAATTTCAGTTAAATTTCGATAAATAGTAGGAACAATGGTAGGAACAACACTCATTGATTTTAAATATATTAACAAGTTTAGTAAAATTTGTATCATAGCATAGAAATTATAATATATTAATTATTTTATTCGGTCATATATAGCTACGCTACTATATGACCGAATAAAATAATTATATAATACACGCAAACTCATATTCAACTACATTAATTATATAATTATTGTTTACTCACCGGTATAAATCTATTGAAAATTGAGCTAAAACCGTCAATTATGCTTAGTATTATATCACACTGAATTTAATTTATTTATATATTTTTTTATACCACTGAGGTGGCAAACAAGCATACGGCCCACCTGATGGTAAGTGGTTACCGTAGCCTATGAACACCTGCAATACCAGAGGCATTACGCGTGCGTTGCCGACCCTGAAGAAACCTCTTTACCCCCCTTTTAAAGAACCCCATGCTGTAGTCTCTTGGGAAAACCTCGGCAGGGAGCTCATTCCATAACCTGAGTGTTCGTTGGAGGAAACATCTCTGAAACCGCACTGTACGCGACCATTGAGGCTGTAGGACATGAGGATGAACTTCCTGTCGATGGCGAGCCGTACGATGGTAGTGTGGTATGGTAGAGTGGCTGTGGGCATCATATTGAACAATTCCTCTGAGCACAATCCATTGTTTAGGCGGTAGAACACGCAGATTGAAACAAAATCTTTCCTAAGACTCAAGGGTACGATACCGCTTGTGAGCCTGGGATCATCGACAATTCTCATAGCTCGTCGTTGCAACGAGTCGAAAGGTTCAAGCTGGTATTTAGGTGCACCGGCCCATAAGTGACAGCAATACTCCATGTGGGGCCGGATTTGCGATTTGTACAGAATTAATCGCTGATCCGGCGTGAAGTAATGCTTCGCTCTACTCGGTGTGCTTAACACAGAGTTTTTTGGATGCCAGCTTCACCTTATCTTCGAGGTGGCCACGGAATTGTACATCACTAGAGATGTCGACACCAAGGGTCCCAATGCTTTTAGAGACGTTAAGAGACGTGCCTTGGAACTGTGGAGCCACAGCAAATGGAGTTTTCTTAGCGGTGAACGCGCAAGCTTGTGTCTTAGCGGGGTTAAACTGGACTAAGTTTTGTCGTCCCCAATCGGAGACTCCAGTTAACGTTCTCTCGATTTTAGACACAAGCTGTTCACGATTGTCCTCCACAATGGAACGAGGGACATTGGTACGACCCGTATATTTTTATTTATTACTACGTAATTTATTAAAACACATATTAGTTTTTTCAATATTAAAAAATATGTATTTATAAGTAAAACGCTGTTTCCTATCCTATAAATGCTTTTATTATTTATTATTTTATGATTATTAATACTATAATAAATAACTGTGACTCTCATGGTGCCTATTTGAGATGGCCCAGTCTCGCGTGACTTTCATACGAGCTTTTAATGTATAGATTTGGTCAGAAAACATCATGCCAACGTTAATTAATGAAGTCACAATAATGCTAACTTAACTAACAAAAATATTGTCAAATGCGATGCAAATAGCTGCCATCTAAATTCTATTATCTATTCTATTCATGGAACAGTTTTAGCTCTGTTTAATATATATTTCTTTTTATTTTAACATGGGAATTACGATTTTATATAAATATTGACTCTATTACGAGATCTACTCTAAAAATTGATGACATTATGGGAATTGCTGAAAACTTGTGTTCGTTATCAATAGTATTATGAAATCGAGGTCTCAAGGTAATGTTGTATAAAATAATGAATATATTTAAGAATATTATCCTTTGTTTATTTTAGCTAAAAAGTATTCATCGAAATATGCAATTTCACATAAAATTGATATATTTCTTTTATCACATGATTCGCGTTTCAGGGAGAAATATTTACATTTTATTAAAATCGAAAAACGAACTATAGTATATAAGTCTATTCGTTTCCATTTTGAACATCGGGCTGGCCAATATAAAGAGAAAAGGAGAATTTTTTTCTATAGATTGGTAAGATGTATTGTGTGACTTGTATGAAGTGCGATCTCTTTTTCCTTGGTTATATGCTCTTTGACATGACAATGATCTGTTGTGATGTATTTTTATTTTATAGTTTGGTGTCAGTTTCATAGAGAAACATTATTCCAACAATGATGTTCCAACTGTCGCAGCCCGGGGGGAAAGGGATTGTTAGTAATGGAGACTGGGAATCCCATTGCTAGCAATATACCCAACCAGGTGGACCTCCTCGCGGTTCTCCCTGGAAACTATCATGGTTAATTCCTGATGAATTCATTATAATGGGCTAACTGACCTGTTTTCATTCTCATCTATCACCCTTCACTGGTGCTCCGCCAGCGTATCTCGTTAGCACAGACGGCGTTACCATACCATTTTTACCAATAAAAAGAAAAAAACTGTCGCAGACCTGTACGGTACCTACCAAAGATTTCGGAATAGAATACTTACTGAATATTTTTTTTTGTATCGGGGTCTTGGTTTTGAAATTCGTTGTTTCGCTAATAATAGTCTAAATTTTTATCAGCATTCTTCTTCATTTTTATCTTCTTCGTTTTATTTTTATATTCTTCGTTTTAATTTCAATAGGAAGTAATCAATTTAATAGTTAGAATTTTTGCCTTATTTGAAATATATAGACAAAAGGGAAAGAAACACTTTTCACAGGACAATAACCATTATGTTCTCTTAGTCACCTCTTCTAACACTCACGTGAAAGGAAGGGGCGGCCTATTATGATGTTACCAAAGTTACGATGGATATAAAAATGCTAAAAGTGAGAAAAATGCAGCGATGTGAGTGAACAGCCTTCCACTTAATATTGTTATTATCTTATATTGGTCTAAAAATATAGTGTTAATTTAAAATACTAGTTTATCTTTTTCTCTATCTACCCGTTCGAAGCCGGACCGGGTGGCTAGTATTTACATGAATTACTTAATCAATGACAATCTTTGTTAACCATTTTGTGATACTTTTTTATTATTAGGGATGAGGTTGGAGACTTCTATCAATTAATGAAGTTCTTTGCTTCCTAACAGTGGTAGTAGCAAACTAACAGTTAAATTGATCGAAACTTCTGAAAAGGTTGCCTTCATTAATAAGGATTATAAATGAAGAATACCCGATAAATAGAAAATATTTTATAGAAAGCTATACAATTCAATCCCTGTTTGCTCCTAAATTCAATTTAGTTTATACAATAGTAGTCCATAATATTTATAATAAGCTTTCTTTATCTATAACAATGTTTACTCTCGTCAGTCAAAATTAACAATCACATTTCAAAGCACCACAAGTTATTGTTACAATTTCTTGTCATCTATACGTAGACTTCTCCTCGTTTGGATCCATTCACTTTCCGTTTAAATTCTGGAGGTGTGCCAGTGCTCGCAGCACTGTGTTCGCTGTCGCGGTCGGATGGAGGTAATTCGACGACAGTAGCACGAGGAGGGACTGGGGAACCACCTGTGGTACCACGATCTGCACGGGGTGTCGACGGCGCAGAACCAACTAAGGACAACTGTGTGACCCCCATGGGGGATAGCGTCACTGGTGATACGACAGGTGCAGCTGTTAACATTGGCGTGATACCAGAAGGCGACAGCACAGCCTGTGCCAGCGCCGCCGTGCCCGGCTGGCCGGCATGCAATGTATTGTTCACCGAACCGCTGTCCAGCTCTTGTATGGGTGAAAGCACCAACGCACCGAGCACGGGCACTTCGTTCTGGTAACCTTGATGCGCCATTATGACACCCATATTCTGCATACCCATAGCAAGCCGACTTTCACGATCGATTACTTCTTTTGTCACGTCCGGCGTAGGAATACGGGGTCTGTTGCGTAGCGTTATAGGCACTGCGGATCCGTTGCTCTTTTGTCCACCTGAATAAAAGCGTCAAATCATTATAAACTGCTTAATTTCCCTAATTCTTACAGATTACAATATTTTAAATAGATTTTTTTTTAAATTGGAATAAATACTTTTACAGGCAATTTTATAAGTTAATTTTTTACCAGTACAACTAGCATAGTCGAAGATTTACATAATAACAAAAATTAGAATATTTAGAATAACGTACCATGTCTAGAATTTTGACGGTGTTGCCCTCGACCAGATTTCCGTCCCACTAATCGATCATAGAGGGACATTTTTTGAGGAGGATGCTGCTGCACAGGGGGTTGACCCGCTTCAGGGCTTGAATAAACCACTGAGTTATGGCGATTCCGTCCGAATAAACCACCAGAGGAATACGCAGTGGACGCTGAACGGACTGACCCCATTCTTGATATTTGTCTTTGAAACCAGTTTTTTCGCCTTTCTACCAATGGTGTATCTACACTCTCCTGAAAGGAATGAAAAAGTTCAGTTTAGAGTTTGTTACTACTTTGTAGAAATTTATCAACTTTCAACCTCTGAACCCCTATGTGTTAGTACATAGTGATGATCCACAATAAGAGTTAACAGGCACGCCACTTAAAGGCTACCAACAATAAAAAAAACTACGACACTATAAACGGTTATAGTTTCGAAGGACAAAATTACGCAAAAATATATACATATCACGCAAAGATATGTATATATTTTACAGGAGTTTGCCAATAGAAAATAAAATAAATATTAAAAAAAAAATAGAGTCGGTATCATCATTTCAGCTATTATCCGTTCACTCCACATAAGCTTTCCCCATAAACTGCCATAAAGAACGGTCCTGAGCCACCTGCATCTACTGACTCCCTGCAATGCATTTTAGGTCGTCACTCCATCTAGTGGAGGGTCGTCCTATACTGCGATTACTTGTACGTGTTCGGCTAAATGTGAGCAAGTCGCATTTTGTGTTCACTATAATAGTAATAGCCAAAGAGAATGAGAGCTGAAGTTATGAGTGCATAATTATTTTAGCATATTTTATGGTGGTGACCAGGATTCATTTCGAGTTTTCTTACATCTTAAATATGTAAAGGATTGATCACGGCTAGACATATAGACAGGATAATGTTCTCCTCTTATCTAGTCCTGTATCTAACAATGTGATGTTAATTGGTGTGATGGTATATTTTTTAATATATACTAACATAATCAGCATAAGTTTCATCATGGCTCTTTCGTGGTGCTTGTACGTTAGCATATACAGCATCCTCAGCTTTCACTTTGTAGTGATCTGCCGAGCATGGCGGCTCGTGACGCCTGTAATGTTCTGAGGCTAGAGTGTATGGCAGGTCCTTTGGCACAACCTCCTCCCAGTACTGATCCCTGAGGAGTTCAGGGTGTTCCTCGTGCATCTCGTCTACAATCATGTAGGCTGCCTGGAAAAGAAATTAAATAGTTTAAGACATTATTCCAAAAAACAATCAGATGTCTAATATAATTTTTTTTATTTCAGTAAATTTGATAATACCTACTGTGAATTAAGACTCATTTTCTAGAGAATTAGGGAAACAGGTTATAATGGGTAATGGAACGGTAACCCTGCCTATGTATCAGTAAATGCTTGGAGTAAGTATAAAATCTAATCAGTTGGGCCATCGTGACGAATTCACTTAGAATTATCCACGAAAGGTTTCAGAGGGGATTGTGTAATTTCTCAGCCATATTGAAAGCATATATTGCTTGCCGTTTATTCAGAGCATCCCCGATGACTTAATTTCTGATGATAATATGTCGTTTTATTTTTTAAAGGGTTTTATAACTAATTAACTTTGAAAAATAAAGAATATAAATGAATATATAAACTTACCTTTATATGCCTATCAATAAGCCAATTCAACTCGATGTCATCATCATCTTCACCAAACGGATTGATTAGTACTTCAGCTACTTTTAACCAGCCCACGTAGAAACAAAACTGAAATACATTTATAATATCATAAAATATAGGTAATTATAATAGAAGTAATAAAGTCAAGACTCTTCTGCGTTAATTCCCATCTCTGCTATTTTATAATGCATAGGAGCAACAACTATGAACACCATACCATATTTATAACGAGAAACATTAAATGATTTTTTTTATACTACTTAGAATGGCAAACAAGCCCACCTGATGGAAAGTGGTAATCGTCGCCAATAGACATAAGCAATACCATAGACATAACAGAGTATACTGTTTCGCCCATGATACCCCCATGCGTTGTCATTCCTGAGGACTCAGGTGTTATTCCTCTGTACCTTGTAAATTCACGCCATATCCCTTCAAATCGAAACACAGCCATTCAATCTGGTAGGTACTAATCAAATGATTTGATTACCAAGAAACTATCAAAGAAAGACTACAAAGTCATATATGTGAATACTATTGCTTTACTTGTATTTTTGTCACCAAATAGCGGTGCCTGTTTCGGTTTAAAAGATAGAGATTGGCAGTGAGATTAATGGGTACAGAGGTATACTTGAGTTATCAATAAGGGCATCTAATTTATTAAAATTAATTATTATTAATTAATCGTCATTAATTTGTCATAATTTCTGTATTAGTTTCAGAAAATTATTATCTGTTGAGAAGAAACTACAAGAGTTAGTCTTTTTGATTAAATATGCAGTGTAATACTACTATCACTGTACTGTCCATAGTGTTAGTTCATATACAAGATAATTACCACATTCCATTAGTCGCCAATATTTTTTTGGTAAGGACATAATTCCTAAGAATATCTACCTGTAGCGCTGTGAACAGTGGGAAGTAAACATCGGGTTCATATTTAGAAGTGCTCCCAGGTGCAGCCGGCACTAACTGCCGACCCATCAACGCAGCAACAAAGTATGTGTAGAGAGAAAGTGTGACCACCTGTAATTTGTTATTATTAATGTAACAAACTCTCTACCATATAGCACGTAAAGAAACTACTTAAGGAAATCTGTGAATATAATCCTATCTTTAATTCGCCTCTGGAGTCAGCCTACAAACTGCCACATGTTGACTCATCGGGATCTTTTGTGCTTCATTCTGTTTTGTTCTATAATTTTAAAGATCCTACGCATTAGCTTTACGATATCCCGCGGTTTAAGATATTTATAGTCGACTGGCTCTAGATATCCTTAGAATTTGATACCTCGTCGTAAGCTCTGCACAGTGTGTCCGAAGACATACTAATCTAATATATAAAATCTAAAATAGTATTAGGTATGTACTTTTTCTACATCTATTTTTGAAAATGAAACTAAGCAAAAGTTTCATCTTTCCTAAAAATAATATTTACCACACATGAATAACTGTGACGAGTTTTGTGGCACATTAATAGATTCGTTGCATCGCCTAATGCACTACCGGGTTCGATTTTCATAATAATCTCAAAATAATATACAAGTTTTGTAAATCAAGGCTTATCTTTTAATATTAATAAAAGCTAGCTTAGTTTTCAACACAAATTGGGATACTTGCGCCATCAGTTTATGTCTGTGAGTGATTTGTTCTAAAAATCTAATGAAAATCTTCACGGGATTAAAAATGGAAACAACAACTTTTCGCTTTATTTTATTACTTTTCAACCATTGTCAGCCATTGTTATTATACTACCAACGCACACAAACAGATGTAAATCTAAAGTACGTAAGTTATAAACAAAATACATAATCTAAGCAAAATACCTATTATGAAATTGTATTAGTTCTGTACGAGTATGTTTGGAAACAATATAGAACTAAATATTTATTAGCAAGCCGGTATCTCTAAAATATACAGCAGTCGGCTAGAATACGTCGAGACGTACGTATAATGAAGCAGAAACGTGAGACCTCGCCGCCCACATGTGAACATAATTGTTATGTTACGGTGTTATCATTGGAACGAATTAGCCCATATTTAAAATGGCATACCCTCTCACGTCTTGTTCACCGGCATATGTATTTTACTTAGCTTATCTTCACCAGTATTACGTAGAAAAGAACTTGGTATCCAATACTAATCACTGGCAGAATTGGAAACTATAAGGGAGTTTAAGAATCCATTTTACATAAATTGTTATAGATTTTTGTTAAATTTGCTAAGTTCAATAGTCATTAGTAGATTAGTATTTACAAAAAGACATGATTCGTGTAAGGTGATAATCTTCATTCCTGTACTTATATCGGAGAGATATAGTAGTCGGGTTACAGGATATGGAGTTATAAGACATAGTTCTCAGAAATGGCAACATATGACGGGTACAACAGGTAACATAGAATATTTTATGATATTAAGCTGCTCATGTTTATAATTATTATCACCTTTCCTCAGGTGGGCCGTTATCTTGTTTGCCATTCTAAGTTGCATAAAAAGTAAAGTTTTGTATTAAATAAGAGCAATAAGTATGCTGCATTATATTATAAAGGCTTTAACCAGTGCATGTTGTCAGTGATGACCTATGGAACTGAAACATGGTCCTACATAATTGCCCGTATGCAAAAGTTTTAAATTGCTTAGCGAGCTATGGAGAGAGCTATGTTTCTTTTCGTGACACGAAAAGAAACACGAGAGTTTCTTTTCGTGACAGAATACGAAATGAGGATATCCGTAAAAGAACCCGTCACCGACTTAGCCCGAAAGATAAGCAAGCTGAAGTGGCAATGGGCTAGTCACATAGTTCGAAAAACCGAAAACCGACGGGGAAGAAAGGTTCTTGAGTGATGACCTCGTACGGGCCAACGTAGCTCAGGACAATCACGCACTGTTTGGAGTGACGACCTCAAATGTATTGCAGGGAATCAATGAATGCAGGTGGTTCAGGACCATTGCTTATGGCAGTCTATGAGGGAGGCCTAGGTTCAGCAGAGAACGGAGAATGGCTGAGATGATTTTGATGATGAAGATGACCTTATACTAACCATTATTATGTTAACCATATTCTATAACCTTCTATGTTAATATACTTATTGTTTATTACATCTTGATATAGTCGTCACGAAATTTGATTAGATACGTACTCCGGAGATGGAGAAAAAATAGGCTACTTCTTATCGTGTTAAATCAATATCTTCCGATCACGAGGACGAAGTTGCAAATATAAACTAGTATATTATGACGATATTACAATATGACATGCAACTGGAGCTGTCGGGTTGTATAAACATAGTTTTTAAAAACTAAAGCAATTGAAGTTAATTCTATTCGACGTAGTGGATATGTCGTTCGACCATGAATTATGTGTTCAAACTATATATAAATGATAAAATTATACAGTCTTTAGCGTCAATAACGCGTTATTACGTATTAACGAGCTATTTGTACAGATTTTAAGTGACAATGATAAAATGTATTTGGGTTATTACATTAAATGTTTTGGGCTAGAATGTTTTTCGATTACGTATGTATAGTACATAGTATAGGTACGTACGTATTCGAGAAACGTGACAAACAAACGTAACTAATGTTCTTCATTTTAAAGCTCACTGGTAACGCTTTGAATGGTACTGTCAGTGATTTTATACTCTGCTGTCGAAAGCATGTTATGAATGTTTATTTGATAAAACACCATCTAGCGAATTTTCAAGTAAATATGTCTTAACTAGCCAATTAACTTATACGTTTTACGTGTCTTTATGTAATAAAGTAGAAGATATGTCCGACCTTTTTTTTTGTGAAAAATAAATGAATAATTACAGTACAGATTTTTAGCCCTTATTGTAGTAAAAGTTTATTATGTTCACTTCGAAAAAACTTTAAGGGTCGATTAAATTACGTATTCAGATTTTAGCTTTTACGCAACTTCGTCTACATAACCGGGATACATATAGTTACTGACCGGTATAAAAAGTAGCGGTTTATAATGATTGATTAAGCCATTAAGGCGCTGTAATTTAATAAACAAAAATGCTTTCTTTCACATGTATAATAATAGTAAGGGTTATTCTTTAAATCAATATTAGGCCTTATTTTTAATTTGAAAAATCAGTATTACTCCTTTTTTTAGTATTTACTCGTTCTGTTAAATAAAATGTAATATGACTTAATTTATAGGCCGAATGAGAAAACATTAAATGAATTTTAAACTTAATACACATATATATTTTATTTATTCATTAGTACATGTACGTATGTGTACATATAAAAGCATTTTCTCCCCGTCAACCTTAGGGAAGTGTCAGAATACCCGAATGTGGCACCAGTAATTATTGATATACATATCAATTCTAGATATTATTCAAAATACTTTACGTTTTTTATTTGACTTTTTATTTATATTTACTAACTTATTTTGATTTTTTCTGTTGTATTTACGGTACTCTATATTAAAACAAAGAAAAAAATAACGGCGAAAATTGGAAAAAGATATTTATGTTTAGAGTTTTATCTTTCACCGTCTATTAGAAGTTCCGCCTTCTTGTGCAGAAACGTCTAACCTTAGAGGATAACAAGATTGTAGCCGCCGTTTTAAGTTTAGATTAGACAGACCAACCGAAATTAAGCCTCACATTTCAAGGTCTAACGCCCGATTCATGAACAGTGTAAAAAACAAAGGGAAAGGTATCGAAACAGCTAATCAAAGCGATGCACATTAAATGTTTAACAAATATACTTACGCCTCTACGATTATAATTAATTTTAATTGGTTATAGTTAAATAGAAATTCTTGGGTCTATATGGAAAGAACAAGTTTTTTTTTTTCAAATTTTCAAATAAATAACATCAGTACTTAGTTGCCGTAGTATTAGCGCTATGATAGCCGAATGGACAGATGAACAAAAGAAATTCGCATCATAAGGCGCTATTCACAGAGCACCGGACCTTTTCGAGATTGCCCGAATCTAGTTACACAAGAATATTGCAAATACGTAAAGCGTCGAAAAATACTGCCTCGTATGTACATACTCGACATCAGAGAAAATTGGCAAATCCGTCCCGACTGTCTGAATAGTTCTTAAATATCTCTATCTTTTTTCCGATAGTACTCGTAAAAAATAAAAACATTTAGCCTAAAACGTAAAATATAACAGTATCAACTCTACTCCTGTAAAATTATGTTTACAAACCTGAGTGTAGACAAGAGGTACACACACTGTATCATATCCAATTAGCGCACCCAAGCGCCGCCTAATATCCGACAATTCCACCAACAAGGTTTGCACAATGTGATCACTCGTTATCAGACCCTCTTTTCTTGCTCTGTTTATAATATTTGTCGCCCACACCAAGGGCATCCAGTATTTCGACATTGGACTCTTCCCGTCCATTTTCTCGAAAACCTTCCTTTCGCTTTCCAACATGAGGCCTGAAACAAGAATGTTATAATCTTGAGCTCAGATGTCATGTTATCAAATCGGAAATAAGGCATATAAATTTGTTTTCTCTATTATATGCCTAAACTTCTTTTTTGATAGTTTGCACATACAGGCATTGCGCTCTTTATTAATATATATAATAATATAATAAATATATTCGCTATAGCGTGTTTAACGTTAAGCAATAGTAGGTATGATCAAGTCGCTTGCGCATCACATTTATAGTTCTAGCTACTTACCAGAGTCAACAACATGCTGCCAGGTTGGAAAACGTCGTTTTACCCTTAAAGATACCCTTTGGAGTGTAATAACGTATGCAAGGATCGCGTATCTTACAATGTTTCGTCTCATTAACCTACCAGTTTCATCCTGAAATCAAAATAAACATACATTGAATTGAGATTATTCTTCACTTGCAAATGTACAATTTTGTTTTAAAGAAGTGATATAGAGAAAATTAATAGAGAGCATATGTCTGCATTAACATTAATATCGCTGAATGTCCTGAGTTTTAGTCTTATGCTAAGATTATTTAATTGCAAAATAATTCATTAAAAATATATTTAAGTGATAACCCTTTAAATGCATGCAATCAAAATATGTCTATAATTTTGTAATGTAGATACATATGTAAGACTCGTGTCTCCCTTCTATATAGATATATTAATTTTAATAAATATTCCAATTTACAAATTATATAATTCTAAACTATAAGAAGGCAGTTTTGTAAATAAGCAATATTAAATAACAGTAAATATCTTCTTTGCACTCATGGGCACCAGCACTGGATATCAGATAGTGTAAACGCACTTTTTTTTAATCCCATAGCGTTGGATACTGAATGGCAAAATTTTATTTTTCGATATACATTTAGAATTTCTTGGATATTTTTATTTTGTTAGTGCCCATATTTGCAAATTGTATATAGTATTTACTTAGAACATATAGATAAAGTTTTGAGCCTCATAAACGGGTCAACTTTTTGTCAGCTAATTGTCAAATAAGCTGACTCTTTTTTTATAAGTGTTCTTTATACTTACGCATAAAATGTAATTTGACGTATCTATATTTAATTATCTAATAAATAAAATGAGTTTTAAGCATTAAAAAGATGCAAAATAAATATGAAGTTATAAAGTAAACACTCATAACTATTTATCACGCAAAATTGTATAAAAAAAGTTGACGTTGTTCTCGAAGCATTTCTATGGGGACACTCTATCTATATAATTTAAGAGTGGTTAGGATATTATACAAAATGCCGTATACAAATAAATAAAATACATAGACAGTCGCTTTGCAACACATTAGTTAATTCTAAGCTAAGCATTTCGCTACGCATGTGCAAACAAAATTATAACTTCATCAATTCTAGGTCGGTTTGGTAAAGCAATCATAATTTAGAATAGTATTTAATTATTTATTTTGCTTTTTGTATAAATATTAAATATAGAGGTCATAGACTAAGGATGGTACCTAGAGGCCATCTTCATTTTATTATTTTATAATATCTGTATAAATCCCATGTTACAATCGCAAATCGTTTGATTGCCCAATAAATTTGCGTGGCCATCATTTTAGACGCATTTTGCTCGTATTACGTACAAATATGTACGATATATGTTTTTAATACCACATACGTGAACGCCTTGATAGAACCTTGTTCTTGAAGCGACAATAAATCGCGCACCTGTTTCAATATAACTCAATTAGATACACCGCACGTACAAAAATATAGTGTTAATACAATAAAGGTAGTTATTATGTGTAATGTCTAATTTGTAATTATTTATCAGGTAGTTACACCTATACGAATATAATAAATAAGTCTATCTGCTCGATAATTTGTACTATAGTACAAAACTATGCTAACACTAAAAGAACGTAAGTAATGCTATAAATGGATAATTGGAAACAAGCAGAAAACAGAAAAATAACATGATTTCTCTTTACCCTTTTAAACTATTTTGTATATTTAATTTAATTGAATGATGTAAAATTCTATTAAATAGATTACAATGATGTAAAATAGGATCTCAAAACAAGATAATAACAACACTTTCAAAATTTAAAAAAATATTTTATTTAAATAATAAAACACTAGAGATACAGATAGAATTAATTTTATAGAAAATGAATTCCACACAAAAACAAAACGTCAATAGGTAGTATATATATATATATATATATACTTATATATATATATATATATATATAAGTATATAAATCAATCTGTTTGTCCAATTTGAATAAGTTTTTTTTAGTATTAATATATAATAAATTAATAATTCGGTATGGTTGGGAAGTTACAGGCTTATTTTTGCTATGGCAATAGTGGCTTCTTAAACGTAGAACTTATATTATAAATAGTGTTTTAAGTACATAACATTAGGCAGTGACTAATTGTATAAAGACCTTTTCAATCAAAAATATTCAAAACGTGAAGCAAATACACGACTATTTGATCAAAAAGGACATTTTATTAACGAGATACAGCAAATAATATGTTGGTCTTTTATTATATGGATTGTGGCAACTACTAAATATGTTAATGGCATCCTACGTACACTGTCACTCATATACCTAATTAACTGAATTCTGAAGTTTATATCTCAATACAACAAGTGCTTTATAATTATTAAAAACTTTTACATTTCTTAATAATAATTTAAATAATGCGCTTCCAAATCACTACTAAACTTTTTATAATCATATTTTGCTTTGAAAGTTTACAATATACTTTATTACTTTTAAAATCTTAATCTTTCAAACTTTAAAATATAAAAAAACTGAATTATATTAGCCACAATTTTTTATTTTTATTTTGTATATATAGCCAGCTGCTACTTCGCTTGCTAATAACTGTACTCTTTTTACCTGGGGTAAAAAGTAACCTCCATCCTTAAAACACCTTAGTGTTCTGGAATAGTAATGTATAGGTGTCACAGTGTATTTTTAATGCCTATGATGCTAACAATTAATTTACCATTGTAAGTTGTGTAAAAATTCTGTTACATATCAAATATCTAAATACTAGGCAATTATTAACAATTTAGCATGCAGGTAGCATGCCAAATTTCAGGTTAAACGTTTGACCCATAAATAATTAAAGAAACAAGTAATCTATTTCCACAAATACTTAGGTATTATTTTATATCTATAACAAAAGCAATTGCGATTCAATGTTGAGTTTAAAAAGAAATACATTATTGTATGCTAACGGTATAAGTGATGGTGAATGACGAAGCATGCACCTCCTCATATCGATGTTCATTGTTAAGACAGAATAATTTGTCAGTGAATGACACAAGGTCGATTATTAGAGGAAATTAAACGACAGTAATCAGGACGAATGTTGATATTGAAGGTAATTCGATCTCATCTAAAAAGGAAAACAATTGATTATTATTAGAAAGAATAGGCGAAGGGGGAACGATAAAGAGACGATAGTCGCCCTAGATAGAGTAACCCTAACTATATTACAGGTAATAGATGTAAAATATACTCGTACAGTATATAGAATCTATGATCAGTCATACATTAGAAGTAAATGTTGCATGCATGTTGCATTCGGGGTATGATGAGAACTTGTATTTTTTTTTAATTAATTTTACGTTTATTAATTTGTTATAACCTAGATATATAATTAGAGATACGTAAACTTGTATTTTAAATGTGCTCACTGAACATACATGGGAATTAAAATAAATAGAATTATTTCGTACTTTATCGTAACCTTAGATTATATGGATAGATAGAGCATCGAGTCTTAAAAACGGGTCAACTTTTTGTCAGCTAATTAGCCGACTCGTTTTTGTATGAATGTTCTGAATATTTTCGCACCAAATGTATTCTTGGCGTATCTATATTTAATTATTCAATAAATTAAATGCATTTTTACGCATTAATCAGATACTAAAATTAAAAAAACAAAATAAATATAGAAGTTATAAAGGAAACACTCATACTATTGATCACGCAAAATTGCATGGAAACATTGACCCGCTTTTCTCGAAGCATTTGTATGGAGACACTGTATCTATATAATCTAAGTTCATAACGTAACGTTGACCGTGTTGTCCCGGCATAGAATAGGCCACTCCTTTCTTTCCTGCGAGTTTCGTAAGAGAAACAATGAAAGAGGAATAAGCAGCAGCGTCACTCTTAAAACATCTCTAAAAGCCTAACTGCGATTGTCAACCCGTTTGCCAAGCGTTGCAACTACTGGCCAAACTTCTCTTATGGGGAAGGTTTATGATATTACGGTGTTAAGATAGAAATGACGAAAAAAATATTGATATCGTAACGTACTACGGTAAATCATAAAAGTATCCGTTGGAATTCTATTTTCAACTGACTTTAAAAAGAAGAAGTTTGTCATTTTGGTTATATTTTTTGTTTGTTACTTCATAATTCCGTTAGTTGTAAACAGATTTGGAGAATTCTTTTTTTTATATGAAAGGTAAATTACTTGGTCATTGCTTTCGTAAAAATGTTATCAAAATCAGTTCCGCAGTTTAATTTTGAAATTAAAATAAGTGAATTTGCCACAATTGACTGTCGGTATTTTGTGGAACACAATGTTATGAATATTTTTCTTATTATTTTGTATGAAGCAGTAGATCATTAAACAAACCATCTATTCTATATAATAATACATAGTACTTAATGACAGCTAGTCACTTTGTGTTCTGCAACAATAAAAAGTGCAGACTAATTTAGAACGAGTGACCTTGACCCGCGCTGTTTTCCCGGTTGACACTGACAATGTTAATGTTACCGTTCAATTGAGATGTTAACAAATTTCGGTTTTTACGAGTACGTCAGAATTAGGGCGTCCACTTATTAAATTTGCACATTGTTGGATTTTTTATTTTCCAACACTTGCCGTTATTCTGTATAATATATATGAAAGAGAATCACTGGCAGTTTTTCAATGAGGAGATTTTTCCTGGTGAAATTAGATATTTTTTCCCGAGATTTTTTTGTGATAATAATTAGATACAATCAAATCCTTTAAACCGAAACCGTACTTTCCAAACTTTTTACAAAAATGACGTGAATATTTTTGTCGTTCTTGCACAAATATGTATTTATGAAGGGTACTTGGTGGTTAATTTTTTGAATGGTCTAAATATTCGAAATTTGGACAGGGAGGAAGTGGAGGCAAATCAAAAGAGGGGTACGACCATAGCCATACAGCAAAGAGTACTGGATGATTACTGTAACAAAAACGACTTTAATAGTGACAAAATCATCAAAAAAACTACTGAACCGATTTTAAAAATATTTCTATGGGACCAATCAATGAGCATATTCTTTTAGATAAAAAAAAAAAACTAATCGGTTTAGAACTGACGGAGTTATGA